AGTCGATGGCGTTCATTGGTATTTTCGGCCAAATGATTAAGGTCCTGCACGAATAATGAGCGATCGCGCTGCTGTTACAATGTGTTTCTACAAACTAGTCATTTGAGGCTGAGATAATGAGGGTGTTGGGTCTCGTGTATAGATAATTATTATTAGAGATAAGAACCGTTTAAAGGTACGCTACGGGCTAATACGGAAACGCCAACACGGCCAGTAAGATGATATTACGTAAAGATTATGAACTGTTTATCACAGTTTAGATACGTTTCCCGAATACGAATCATTACAACATAAAGCTACAAGGGAACTTCAGCAATAAGGATTAGAATCGCAGATCGCATAGATGACGATCAGACATGCGTAAGTGGGATTATAATTACTGTAAATAACTATCTTTTATTATGTACGTATGTTGATTACGTCGCGTATATGTAGATGGAGGTAGTATTTCCCACGGTAGTTTATAGGAGCAACATGTTAGCGTGACGGTGATTAAGCTGAACAAAAATGTAAAAAAAAAATTTGATATAGATAAATAGAAAGAAAAACTAATCTACATACATACATACATACATTTCGATGATATAAAGCTAGGATATGCAGCTAGTAGCAGCAAAAGAGGCCGACTGTCATATTAAGTAAACTACCAAAACGTCCAAGAAGGTTCATTATTTACTGTAGCTCTAACAGTTTATGGAGGTTGTCAAAAGGGACTGCTTCGGTGCTTGTGACCACATAGCAGCATAACTCTTATGAATTTGAGATGAGTGTACAGCCAATGCCATTACGGAACCAGGAAATATGTATTGATAGTTATTGGAAATATGGTCAATTTCCATCTGCAAAATGGAACAACGACTTATTAATGCTGGAAATCAACTTTTAAGAATATTTGCCGCATGATAAGATACTATTGGACCCTTAAGTGGATACAATTTCCAATGTTTAGGGAAAACACTTTAGAAACGTCCTGAGAGTTCACTCATGAGGGCCGCGCTCTTTCGTAAATACGGCTTCTCTTCATGTCGAAATGACTCTTGCAAGCCACACCCAAGTCCACACAAGCAACATTTTGCTGCTGCATCGTGTTTTGCCGAATCAGTTATTTTGATTAAAAGTATTTCTTTTGTTACGCGTCCTGTCTGAAACGGTTCTGAAAGCGTTAGTTGCGTCCTCCCACCTTTTCGGAAATTAATTCTCTCTCTTCACTCTTGAGCTCGTCAACACGTATGAAACTAGATGGCCGCGGCCTCATTTTAAACTTATGTAACCAATATACAACTAAACTATCATCTTATGTCTAACTTCGCACCACATTATATCCGGACAGGGTCAACTTAGACATTGCTAGCAGGAGTACACATTGAAAGGTCTACGTACGCCGGAGGATCACCCTACTAGGTTTAGTTAAGTAACGGTCGAATAAAGACTGAACAACAGTTTTTCGAGACCAGTACGAACCACGTTTCTAACTCGACAATATCGCTGACATCCAGGCTCCTATTTATAAACTATAACTATTGTGCGGAGCTCATATCCTGCCGTAATGGAGAACACTTCGTTTTTTCATAAACAGAGCCTAAAATCACCGTGCAGCTGCTACTAGGGAAGCAATCGCTACGACCTCGAAATTTTTGAGGTTTTTCTAGATACACGGACGCAGTACAATATTGATCCCGCCCCGAGGTACTAAGGGTAAGCTAGCTGGATCGTAATATCTGTAACTTTCGTGTGTTGACCAGGAATAAAGGTGCTGTGTCCTAGTTACTGCTAATTAGATGATAGGCATAAGCGCTATGTCGCGTCGACTCGCATATTGCAGACATGTTCTATGTAATAATATATTTAGCTCAATGGAAAAGCCGTTCGTACACCCTATTAGTAAAAAGATGTGAGATTACGTGAAGATCATTTGTTTGACGATCTGCCAAGCTCGTGAGCCAGGTGCTTAATAGAACAGAATGGCAACGAGACCAGACGCGATTAGCAGCGCGTACAGATTATTGCGTTAGTTGAAAAAACCGCTCTTGGCTTTCGGCTTACTAACATGCTCTTTAGAAGTGATGCCATCAGTTGATAGGACAAATGAGATACTCTTAACAAGACGTAAGTGATAGCTAATAAACTATTGAGTGACGGGTAGTTTCGGAAAATAGACTAGCGCTAATTGATGCCTGCTGAAGTTGATGCTATTTCTTTCAGCAGAGGCTGCAAACAATGGGCAAACAGCTTTAAACAAGTAGGAACTTCGCTACAGCCGTATCGGCGAAAACTGGCAAGAATTTCAACCGTTTTCCTGAAATGACCTTGGTACTAAAAGATAAGGACAAGACTTAACAAGAAGACCGATATCGTTTGAGGCTTACTCCAGCGAGATCTTCCTGTCCACCTAAATTCAATGAGATTGATATTGTTTGTACGGATCTATTGTTTGACCTGTGCCTTGAACATCCAGGTGAAACTGCGATCGAAACGTATTAGATTATTCTAACAGAAGAGTGTCCCAGTATTGCGTTGGGATGCGAGAACGGCCAGCCGTTAACCGGCTTATAGTTCAGTATTTAGGTGGAATAAGTCCGTTCTGCATTGCGATGTACAATTAAATAGCATGTCAGTGTTGCATCAATTGTTCAGGGTCAAAACGATGTGATCGGCAATTTTTTGCGGAATTACTTTGGTTCCATAGTAGTCAGTCGTAGTTCGTAAGACTATGATGCAGCAGGATATTCGTTATCCTATGTAAATTATAAAAAATGAATGTCCAACGTAACGGAAATTAGACAATATGTTAGCATCGCCTTTAAATGTAAACAATTCCAATGGCGGGCACCACTGCCAACAGAGTTACAGGGGATGTCTTAGGTTTAGGCACTTAATTTCAAAATGGCAGTTTCTAATTATTATCGAAAATCTATCTTCTCCACTTTTAGTAGGGTCATTTCATGACAATTGTCTAGCATAGATTTTGTCGAATGTGGCTGAAATCGACAAACTGTATGTTTGTCACCTAATTATGATCAAAGTGGCTGTCATTTGTGGTATAGAGAGGTCAATAGCCCATCAAAAACACCCCGTAGACACCAAAACCCACGAAATTTCATGCCTTCATCGATTATTAGAAATATTACAGATGTATCATCGATACAACTGTTTCCCCCGTCAGCCCAGAGATGGTTAAGATCCAATTCGCAAGTAACAGAATTCGACCTAAGGATATGTTATTTCGCAAACGCGCTCACAGACATAATCCGTTAACTCACTTGCGTCGATACTATCGCGACCACAAACAAATGGGCATTAAGCAACACAGCAGGCCCATACGGTGAAGTCCTTAGGAAACTGAAACTGCTGTTACTATTTCTAATATTGATGCCGATCCAGAAGGTCCCTGCTTAAGTAATGGGTCTATTTAAGTAGGGCAACTTATGCTAATTCTAATCAATTGCCTTTTCGCCACTCTGGTGGCTTGTGAGCCATACTGTTCTAATAATAAATTTAGCTGAATGCATAATTTCGTTACTTAGCAAGCATCAGGGTCATGCAATGAGTAGTCGTTTAGGCCACTGTGGTACTGCAACAGTCCCGTTGCCGTTCGCTCCGGCAGTGTCGCTGCGAAAATCGCAGCTTGCCGACTGCTTTCAGAAATATTTTGCCTACTTTAGATGATTAGGCTATACAGATGACCAGCAAACCAGGTAAACAATCAGCCCAGCTTATGCCCCTTCCTTTTGTTCCCGTACCACTAAATATTCTGGTGTACACGGACCGGTTCAAGTACACAGCGGATACAACCGAGTGCTGTGCACAAATATATCTATAGCTAAAATGTGTATGTAGCTTACGTCTAGCGATGCGGCTGAAGACGGTAACATAGTTTTTGTCATGCCAAGCGCAACAGGAGCGCTTCTCTATAAAGGAGATGTATACCTTTTTATACGCTTCCGCACTTTTTATATACATTACTAAATGAGGTAGACGGTTGTGTCGTTGCCTGCAAAATAGAGTCAGATCTGTCACCGGGTATCGTTGTATCGTAATTAGTACATCTTAAGACTATTGAATCAAATTTCTGATCGTACTATTTTGATTTATATAGTGATATTATCAATGTATCATGTACCAGATTAACTGCAACCATATGCTGCACTATCTGCGCTTGGAAGTGGTAACTGAGCCAAGTTCAAAGGCGACTTTTTTTCTACGTATGCCCAACAGCGATAGGGTGCGTCGCTTCCACTGAGGCCAGTGGCATCTAATTGATTCGCAAGAGAGCCTGCATAGCTGAACAGCTGAAAAATCGTTAAAAAATAGCTAGGTGAAGCTTTTGTACAGACGCTTCCTGGCACTTCGCATACCGTAAACGGGAAATGGTCATGCTTAATCAGAACACTTCCGGGATTTTCAAAGAGCTAGATTGACTTGAGCACTTGCTGTTTCTCTCTGCCTGACAAGCCGAAATATGATCGAGATCATCCAGTCGCCCTTCTGTCAAAAAAGGCCGCACCGGTTTCTTCCTCGTTAGATAATCCACCTAGACGATGGCCAGATCTAGATTCGATATACAATGCCGATTACCCGCTACTATTGATAGCTGTTAATGATTTTGCCTATATTACCCCCTAGCGACAGCCGCGGTTTAATTCCGATGAGTTATATGGATGTTAATGACCAAAGGGACTCTTTCGATCGATTGTTTTCATTGTAGCAACACGGCGCCGCTTTTCTCATTTAAACACATATTTGTATAAATAATATGCACGTTTACATAAACTGAATAATAGCAGAAAGAAAGCAGAATAAAAAAGTTCTCAGTGACTGTATCCTATCAACGCTTCACTCGTAGCGTTCAATATACAGACAACTAATTGTGCTAGCGGAATGGGCGCGAAATATTAAATAGACTCTAAATGAGATATTCAAGCTAATACAGTTACCATACGATATATTAACGTGAAGCAATACCTATATTTTGAACAACTCCATGTTTATATTGTTTCCAGTATCGCACGCAATGTTGGCCCAGATTCTTCGAGACATGTACATCGAACCGGCCTTACTGGCCGAGCTCGACGATGAGCAAAAGAGTGTACTCTTTTGTAAAATGCGAGAAGAGCAGATTCGCAGGTAGGGTATTACTTGTCCTTAACTGTCGCTACGAAGAAGTCTTTAATGCGCAAAACTCGCTCTGCATCTTTAGAATGTATTTATACAGCATAAAATCTCGTGAGCCTGCAGCACCCTTTGGAGTAATGGAAACAGAGCTTAATAATACGATGGTGATAATGGTAAAAAATGGGGCGCTTAACTTAGGTTAGCTCTTCAAATAACAGTGATCTGTTTGACCCATTTTCATATCTTGCGGTAGACGCCGATGTAATACTTAATTCTGCAATGCCAACTGTGAAATGCGTTGGGTCATTGCGTCTGAAACAGACGCGCATTGATTTATCATTAGTAGCAATGTTCGACTCGTTCTCTCTTCCAGATGGAAACAGCGTGAGGCTGAAAATCAGCATGAGATCCCGAAGGCAAACGGTATGTTTACTTGAGCCCGTCGGGGCAACTATTGTGTTCACATATCAAACTGGAAACTATGTATAGCTAAGAAAAAATTTATAGAACATTTTTCCCGTTTTCTCCTAGGCACTTCGAAGAAACGCGTCGGCTTTTTGTTGGGCGCCGATGGAGAGCCCTGGACGTGGGTAGTAGGAGAAAGCGACCCCAGATGTCAACCTCATGAGTCTCACAGATCGTCACTGAAGCCTTTGAGAAACCTTGAGTCAACCAACAACCAACACGATCTAAGCAATAAGGACACGACGAGTCTGTTGCCAACGAAACAAGCCAGTGGCCATGTTGTGACTGGCGATACACCTCTTCGTAGGCCGACGAGTCTGCCATTAAATTCGAACACCTCCCGAAGCCCGTCTTCGAGCCCCGTTAATGGGAACTTCAACAATAGTAACAACCAGCAGCAACATTTTGTGTACAATAGTACCAATAATAATGGCATGACGAGCCCTATAATTAAAAAACAGAACAATATCAACCATAATAATTTTAACAACAATAATAATAGAAGCAGTAACGGTGTAAATATCAGCAGTGGTGGTGGTGGGCGTTTGCGGAACAGTTTTCCGCAGCATATTAACAGCAACAGCTTCATCACAAATCATAGACCTCAAATACAGCTGAACGGAAAGACACTAAATTCAAATAACAGCTGCAGTCTAAACAGCAATAAGCTCGCCGATAATAGGACAATAAATTCCGTAAAACCGGTCGTGGAAGTTCGACCTATGGTCAAGCCCCAGGCCCCTACACACAAGGTATGTCTTTGTAATGGTTACCTGCTTGGCGTTAATGTTTTGTCTATTAAAGCAAATAGCTGATTGTTAACATGCTCGTAGTAAAGGGGTAACGTTGTGCCTCCATTCTTCTTTTGAAATGACCTAAAATAGGAAAACTTATTTATCTAGCTGACGACATGGCTGCAATCCGGAAATGTTTTGCACTAATTCGATGTATTAACCTTCAGATCAACTTCGAACTTCGTTCGTTGGGTGATCAGGACGTGGCACTCCGAAATGTTGAGAACACTATTAATTCAAGCACCACCAACGAAACAAAGGTATTACACTCTGATGGTACGCTTGGACTCATTACCGAGGAAAAGCAATTATGTGCTGATGAACACGTTGCTTTTGGAGTTTCCATATCCTTAAGACTACAGTGTTTAGAGTGATGGAACAATTTCAGCAGATCGTTCCGCTGTTAGTTCATAGTATTACATAGACGAATGAATGGTGACTCATTACAGATTACTAGACTGGTTTTGTTTGCCGATTTAGCCTAAAAGTGTTGTTTCTTTGATATAGAACGCTAACGAGCAACTATGTAGCATTAGCGGCAACGGTGGTATCGAAGATGAGCTGGAACGTCTAGTGCGCGACGTGGCCGAGCTTAGTTCTCCCGTCCAATCTGACAAACAACGCTGGCTCCAAGAGAAGCAAAATATTATACGGGTAAATAGGACAAACACATTGCACTTTATTCGTTTCCCACTATTTTGCATCGGGTTCAGATGCTAATAGTATGCCAATGTCGCGGATTCGTTCTTGTTCAGGCCCGTGATTCGTCAGTTCCGTCGTCGCCAGTGTCGATCATGGGGGGTTCTCCGCCGCGCCACGAGGTCTTTTGCAGTTCGCCTCCCAAAGCTACCACAGTTGCAATAACTTCGTCCGTTAACCAGCTTAACGGTGATGCAATCGGGCTGCAGGTAACGGCTAACGGCTCGCATCAACAGCCTATTGGTCAGGAATGGAACTCTATCGATGAACAAGCCTGGCGTGAACAAGGTGCGTATGCGCCTCGACCGATTGAAGTCGACACTAATCAAGAGCGCTATGATGGGATGAACCTATCGTTGTTTCCTGTTACCATTACATATTCTACTCATTAATTATTCAGTATTGAAAATGAATGAACTGAAATGTATTCAAACTATAATTTTAACGTGTTTAGATTTAATGATCTTCGTACTCAGGAGTCCTTCATTTCTTTCTGTGTTTGCGACATCGTTTTTATTGCAGGTACGAGATCGTATATGTCTTCCACACGAAGCGCGTTACGTGTACACGGAGGTGTCCACTCGTTAAGGGCTCGGGTTCTTTGTCCGGCATTTGACTTGCATCATGGAGAAAATGTTTTCTATAGATTCACTCTCAATAATTCTTTATCATTTATTGTACATATCCAAGTTTGCAGAGCCCTTTGACATTGGTGTACAGGCCTGCGCTCGCTGGTGAGCGATGCTGGCGCCAATGCGACCGTTTAAATTGAGGCTGATGTACCCACCGGTTGCAGCTGTTAAGCATTATAAAAAAGCAGTATTTAAGTATTTTCGTACACTGTAAACAACAGCTCTAGATTAATCAACATGGTATCTTGACTAATACTATGTTGATTGATCTGCTCCGTCATCTTAACCGAGTAGTCGGGATGAATGTTAAAGTTCCATTCTTTATTACCTGTTAAATACAAGTTTTTATTCATTATTATGTGCATTTCATACTCGCGCGACGGCTATGAAAACGCAGAACCGCGTTTCAGCATCCATGCTGATCGTGTCTTTGTAGTCGGATATTTAATACTAAACAAATTCCATATATATGGATATATGGAATAAGAAAATACATCTTTCCACCCAATAAAGCCTGTAATCTTATACAAAGTCATCAAATGTTGCTAACAAACGATTCTAATTTAACTTAGTGCTACGCGCACCAGTATTTTAATAGGAATATGTAGCCTATAATATATTTTTAATATGACTTAGTAGTGATTTAAATTGTTTGTATTTAAGTTAGATCAAGTGAAACTTAATCGTAGAAAAGATAAGACTTGCTCATAAATCTACATAGGTGAATGACACTAAAATGCGAGTGGTGGTTGCGAATGGGTTACGAGCCATTTGTTGGTTAGCAAAAAATCAAAGCGGTGCATAACATGGGTACATTAGCCATTCCTAGAAGCCATATGAAATTGTATAAAAATCAACAGTTTTGTCACACAAACACCACGTTTATATCCATTCGAACACTGTATAACGAGACCATATGTTTGCTACACGTCTAAACGTAGCATCACTAATTAAATCTCTTACTTCCACACCCCAAACGTACGCATAATCCATTAGTGGAAGCGATCAGTTGCACCTGTGTAGAACAACTGGGCCCTAAAAACAGGAATTTCTGAGATGTAATATATGGGACAGTGATGCCATAGTCACCTCCCATCATACCCCACCATTTCTCACAGTGTGCAATCATTTTATAATCAACTGGAAATTAAATTCGATACGGGAACTAGTCGTTTAAGCTTATTTACTGTACGATTTATATACATAAATTTATTCTGTGTTTTTTGTGCGCTATTGTCTTTGGCAATTTGTATTCTGTGCCGTTCTAACGGAAATTAAGCTTAATGCTTCCATATTCTGTTATAACTATTTTTCTATCTGAAACTTTGCAGAGCGGCGTGCGAAGGAGGCCGATGCACTGAGAAGACAAGTCGCTCGAAATGCTCGCGAAGAGATCAAGAGATCTTCCCAGATATTCATCAATGGTAAAATGAGAGCTTTATATATTGGTAAAGACACGCCAGTTTAGGACATCTACCAGACTGAGACACAGTCAACCGGACAACCGGATCCCAGCATTTGACAGTGCCTCCACTAACTAATAATCAATATATAATATATTACAGATGACATAGGGATCGCCGCATCTTCTCCCACGGTTGATGAACGGGAAAATCTAGACCAGACATGTGTTCAAGCTCTTAGAACAAACGATGGAAAAACCGAAGTTGTAGGTTCTTCAACTACGACCTTCGTTGAGCCAGCTGTTCAACCTCGAAAAGAGACAGTGTCTACTGGGCAAACCAATGAAATAACGAGTTGCTCAGGCCAACAGCAAGACGCTGGTGTTGTGGCCGCCGACGATCCGTTCTTTAAACAGCATCAGCAACAAGCAAATAGCCAAAAGCCAGCAATAGTATCGCCAAAACCAACTATTTTACCGAAGCCTTCGTTTAAGCCACCTGTGCCACCAAAATTACCATCCGTGAAACCAATTAGCGTCTTCCAGAGCCCACCGCAACAGGCCACCTCTAGGTAGGAAGACAGCGGGTCAATACGTTTCTGCTTTATCTATTAAACTTACCAAAAGTTTACTGTTTCTAACTAGTAGAAATGCTTCTGTGTGTAATGTTTGTACTGTAGGAGCCGCGATGCCAAGGTCTTCGAGCGTACGGAAGTCGAGGCATGGTTTGCCACAGAACAGTTGAATACTGGTGCCGTCAGCGAAGACTCAAAACCTGGAGAAGCGGCCGATTGGTTCCACGGTAAAAGATCTTACGCAGTTTTATATCATAGTAAAGAGAATAAGTCATAATTCAAGGTTAATGGAAGGTGTGCTTTCCCGTTTTGACGTTATTCATTTTATGGACATCAGTATAAATAATGATTCACATAAAAAAAACTATATAGTGCATTGGTATAGTAAAATATGGCAACTGATTAATTCTGAAAGATATGATAAAGGTTGACAAAACAGTTACAAGGCTGTTATGCTGTTCTGTTCATACATGTGGAGACAATGTTCTCAAGCCATATAGAGCCGACTGAGAATTGTTAGGTACGAAGTTACTCGTTATGTTCCCAGATTTTGCAGATGGAACTGACTCCCCTTAAATCTAGTTCATTATTTCTCTTGATAAAGGGTTCCTCTCACGTGCGGATGCCGAAGCTATTCTGGCGATGTGGGGTGAGGGCTCATTTCTAGTCCGAGTTCACGACAGGATTAAGGGCTACGTCGTGTCATATAAGGCTCCAGAAAAGGTAGGTTCTACCGAATCGCCTATTAAACATATCTTATTCGTTCAGCTCCTGCCAGGTAACTGTCGTTTCGGTATTGGGTAAATTTTACAATACTATTTTTCATCCATAGCCGATTTGTCATAAAAATAAGTATATGACGTAAATATTAAAGATGAATACGATGCTTTAATATCAATTTGTTACAGGTAAAACATTTTCTTGTTGACGCGTCCCAACCTGGACAGGTACAGTTTTTCGGAGCAAACCAGATCATCTTTAAAACCATTGTTCATCTGGTACATTTTCATATGGTCAGTATGCGGACACACCGTGTAACAAATGTGTAATTTTCATTATATATACATAATAGGGCACCCGATATGTTTAGCGGCAGCATCAACTCGAAGCGTTTCATTAGTATGTAGATGTATGTAATGTGGACATCAATTTTTCAAACGCCTCTGTTTATCTGACACGCCAAACTTGTCCTTCTGAGTTTTCTAGTAGAAAAATACTAAATATTAAAAAAGCCGAAATATTAAAATGTATCTATACGTACGTATACACAGATTCGAACGATGCTAACCCGAACATGCTCTTTTTGTCCCTATATCTGTAGTCACAACCGGTGTCCGTAGTTGGCAGCGAACTTTTACGTATTGGAGTTCCCTTAGCGGTTGCGGCCTCAATGTGTGGCCTACACAGCGGTGTTCATCAAGATGGGGTGCGTCTATGAGCTCCCTCTACTTCAGTAGCCAGTCCCGCCAATCAACAGCTAATATCAAGTGCACGCAATTTTCCCTTAAGGGGTGCCTCTTTGTGTTAAAAGGACGTATTGCCTAATTGGATTCATTGGTCAGGCTCAGCCGCGGCAACTGCTTTAGAACCGCTGATTTATATCATATACGAAACGAAACGGTGATTAGCACTAATTTTATCCAAAATTCTATAGCTTTCTACTGAAAACAAAACCCTCAAGTATTTTCATTTGATTGCATACGGCGCCTTGGTAGAAATATGCCACGTGATGCAAACGGAGGAAGGAGGCAACCCAGAATGTCTCTTACGCCTTTTTTTGCCCACAGGCTACCCATCATCGAAGCTCACAGCCAGGACCATATTGACGTGTTTTACACAGTACATCATACAGTAACATCATACATAAATGATACACCAACAAACTAGATCTTGTTTCAAACAATTCAACTTGATTCACCTGGTCATGGTCAGCTGAGCTACCACAAGTCTGATCCCCATACATCGGTTAAGCGGATTCACCAGTACTGTATTGAGAGATTTCCGAACAGCCCAGGTTCTTCGATGACTGTCGGATAGGTTCATATGAAGGCATCTTGCTTATGTTGAGCTCCAACTCTAAAACGGGTCGACCAGTGACTATTTGGTATAGCGTTAACAATTCAAAATATTTTTATACGTAGAGGTGTACAGACATTTGTTGAAACTGGTTTGAGCTCATACTGCCTTCGTAGCGGTAGCTACGATTATGGCAGTGTTGAAAGCAACTTTTTTTTTTTATATATATATTTGCAAATTGCTGATAATTAAGGAAAATGTACGTCAGCTTTAAGCTTTTGAGGTTCTGCTACGTGATGCAGCCTTTTGATTAGGCGTTTATTGCAATGCCTATCATTCATATATACATATATATATCTGTGCTCCTTTATGTCGTATACGGGGGCATACTGATGACATAGTTTTCTATTACATCATATATATTATTTCTGTATTTCAGTGATATATTCGTGTAGAGATATGAAGTTTAGTTTGAATTGACTGTTATCTGCCCATTTTATAACATAAATCTTGCCCCTTTTTTTCTGCAGACCTACTAGACTAGATAGGTGGATTATATTAGTATGATTAAAAAAGCTAACATTCCTACAAGGTAAATATTTGCTTTGGAACGCGCGTCAAATAAAGAAAAGAAAAAGCAGAAGCATCATATACACTTTACTTGATAATTATATATATATATATATATTTGTTAAAAGGGAGTTGTCGCGACGCGGAGTACCCACACAAACAAAATATTTCGAGGTACATAGAGTCGAAGTACAGTGAGCTGTTATACTTGCCTGTGTCTTTGTCATCTCAATCCGACCATGATACCAATCCCACGATGACCAAGCTGTCATGTGGGGCTAACTACATAACTGAGTACGACTGCGAGTGATCGCCTTTGCGCGCATACGTCGGTGAGCTTTCTTGTCAAATGGCTGCTGCCATTTATCTATTGTGTGTAATCGATGAAGCCGTCTTTTCTTTGAAAACAGACGCTTGCGCTAGCGATGCCCAACCTCATCAGATATTCCATTGTACACAGCATGTCATTAACTAGTCAAAGTACCTACCTTATAGCAGTAACACGTTGATTTTTCCCGCGTAAAAATAAATTGGGCTGTTGTGTTGTTGAGTTCGTGGAAAAATCTGACGTTATTGACGCTAACGAAACTTCGAATGGGTAGGGCAAAAAAGGAGTGCAGTCGGAGGCGAGTTCGTTCAGTTGTGGAAAATATTCGAAAGACTTCTTTTAAGAGAGATACCATCAGCTCTGGTTCTATAGCATGGTGTTCGAGCACAGCGATCGCTGGATTAATATCAGATGATTATGTCTTAACGGTAATTTTATAATAATGAGTCGCACAGGAGAGAGAAAGAGCATTTTTCGTAATAGTGGCGCATAATGTTGTTGAAATATAGCACGTGGTGTTCTGGGCAGATCATCCATGCACAGAAGCGTGGATAAAAATAAGGTGGAAACGAAAAGATATTTACGTGATCCCAATTTTGGTGCGTTACCTTGAAACTTTTTCCATTCTTCGCCTTTTCTTCATGTTGATGTTGTTGTTGCGCAGAGTCGGCCGAAAACAGTCTGATCAAGGCAAATCAATCACAAAGTAATAACATAATTATCACTTCTCTATTTTGCTTCTATTGATAAGGGAAAAAGTTGTCACCAGCGCGTCCATGAATGTTGATCACAAGCTAACCCACTTCGAAAGTGATACCGCCGTTGACGGTTATTTGGTTTACTGTCGCCGCTGTTACGGTTCTACCAAATATCGAAGTGACAGGGCAATAAATAGTATTTTTTCAACTGTGAAGCGATACCATGCGTGTCCTTTTTTCGCCTGTAGATACTGTAGATGTAATTATCATTGTTGGCTAGAATCAAATTACAAATGGCGTAGACAGCAGCTAAAAACGTATTTGCACGCGCTAGTGGATTATTGTGAATTGTGCGCACACATATATACGCACAGACGCATCATCGCTTTGATTCGAGTGCATATTAACCGAACGTCTTGGTAAAATGTGGTACCGAGAAGAGCGGGCCTTTGGCCGCTTGTGGTCAAGGCACCCAATGAGTGGGGCGAAACACCCAGTCCACCGTCCCAGAGTTACGCTAAAAATTAGCTATACGGACTGTCGTCGCTATAAAATGCTACGTCTCAGTGCCCATCATATCTCATACTGATCGTACAATAAATGCTCTATTGATAAGTTACTTTTTCAAACGTGCCGAATAGCGTGTATTAATTTAAACAGTTCTACCACAGTAGATTGTACAGCGACTGGTTAGATAAATATAGCTTTGATTTATCAAGGTTTGTGCAAACATTTGTGTAAATAAACGTTTTGTTGAGGCAATAGAATATAAATTTAGCTGAAATTCTCGAGTGAGTAAAAAATCAATTTCATCGTCTTATGGATATTTGTGGGCAATCTAAGAAACGTAACTGCTGAGATTTCCGCACAGAGTACGCATGCTGATACAAATCATCGTCGTTGACTGATTGATCGTTGACCAGCAACATTATATTTTCAAGGTTTTAGCACAATATTTAACTACGCATGTGTGAGCGTCGAAGATCTACGAAGAAGAACATTATGATGTTTAGCTTCATTAGTCAACACTAACGGAAACGACTTCCATTAACTTCGAGGATATTAGAAGAGCACGCATTTGGAAAGATACGACCTTTTAATCTCACTCCAGAAGCGGACGCCTTTTTATTCACTTTTCATTTAAGATAAATACGAATAAAATTAACAAATATATTTAGGTGATGACGATGACTTTACGACGCTATTTCTGGACTCCATTTCATGATCTAACCTTTTATCAGCCTTAATTAACCATATATGAAAGCTTAGTGTCGGAAACATGACCGTGTCAGAAATCGATTTTTAACGTCACTCTCGTCCTTCCATTGGGCAGATTGGAACTGGCGAACCAGACGCTGGAAAGTTCCGAGGCCTTCACTGTAAAACCATACTCGTTTTTTTAACTAGTCGTTGCTCCTTTGTTTAATATACAATTGCAAACCATAGCCTAATTAGTTACGGCAACTATACGACCACATGGACTAGCTCGCAACAATATCCCCTAACTATACATATTTCGTTTAACAAAAGAAAATAGAGCCATTGATAAAAAGTTATACCAAGTGATATGTTTAGATAAGATCGAATCTTTGAGCGAAATTTATTACGTAAACGCAGACAAGCAACCGTTGCATTGCGGAAAGGTATCGTTTGCTGCTCCCCTAAGCGACAATCTGGTTTTGTATATGGTTAGAAATTGTACAGCAAAATCAAAAAAATAGTTACTGTAATAGGGCCTTTTGAAATGTTCAGAACGATGCCAGTAACTAGCACCAAAAAACAAAGATGGTCATTTGAACTTTTGTTGGATTTGTTTCGATCTGAATTAATTCATATGTCAAATAGTTTCGAAGTGTGATAAAAAGGTTAATTATACAAGGTCAGTAGGTTTATAGTCGAATCTGTACGACGTCCACATCAAATAGGCTATAATTAGGCCAACAACCTTGAGCGAATTTTCGGTCTAGGTCATCGAATTTTGCTCAGCCGGCTGTTTTTTTAAAAGTCAGGATCTTAAGTCAATATTCTCACTTATAATGATCTCACAAGATCTTAATTAAATTAACGGGGGAGTTCGCGACTGTTTTAGCCGATTTAACCATTCAGGATCCACCCAAAATTACATTTCATAACAACTGATAATATGAGTCTAAGATTTCTTGCTGAATACATGTTGGCCACTGCAGAATTTAGGAATAACAAACGCTGCTGGAAGTGCTATTTTGGGGCAGAATGTTGCTCATGACTGTGATTGTCGCTCTCTTCTGCAGATTGCACACCATCTTAAGTGTGCTGACCGAAGACAGATTGTCTCCTGATAAAATTATTCCCAAGCAAGCGTTCTTCTTTTCTTTTTGGGCTTGAGAGTGCATCGTAGTTAAATCTACCTGCTCACTCAGCTGATATCAGTAAATCACTGCAACTGACCTAAGCATTTGGTATTAGGAGTCCGGCACGTCCACTCACTCCATCATTAAAGCTGTCACTTTATATAGTGCAGTATGTACATTACTTCTAATAGCAATCAATAGACCTAGCGCTACTGAAAAAATGTATATTTAATGATTTTTTATAGAAAAACTAGTTTTAAATAAGCGTACACCATAAGCGTGTATCCTATGATTGCTAGTTAGTTGTTTACAATTTAAATACTATTGTCCGAAGACAGCAGCTGAACATAACAGTTATTTTTAATAATCATAATTTATTCGCAAGAACAGATTTTTATTCGTAGAAATTGTTACGCGGTACTATTCCAGTACAACTTACAAGGCTTGCCTGATACTACCGCCAAAGAGATTGCTTTAATGTTTGCTAGCAGCGCATCACTTTTGTGCATATGAATTATATTCATTATCGCATTTTGCATATAGGCCCGTCCATAAACGAGAAAAAAATTTGTGTCAGATCTCACCATCAGTTGAACGTCAAATTGGGTTTGCGGAACATTTACAAACGGCAATGTCGTCTGCTCATTCATCACGTTAATTGGGACAGCAACCGCAAGTCCATCCTGTCGACGTCCACGAGAAGCCCGTCATATTGACATCATTTTCACTGATCTTTAAAATCATCAGTGTTCTCATACTCTATTCTTACAAGAAGGTTAGGCGTGTTACAAACTCTTAAAGACTATAAGTTCTACCATCTTTGTCTTTTGGCGCCTGAAGCGTCCAGTGTCTATGCCATCTTGGTTCCTGTGTAATTTCAATACATCGTTGAAGTGTTTGCTGATACTGGCCGTCATTCTATTGTATCCTGCGGGACTAGAACCGGCAACTCCAGGAGTCCAGGTTCGTTGGAGTGCCGTCTACACCATCATGCTGGGGCATCCTGGACCAATTTTACCTACGGGAAATAAAGCAGGGGTGTAAGAAGGACTAATAATAAAAGGTGGATATACATTTATTGGATAAACGGATAAGCTTGCGGCGTATTTTTTAGTGGTTATTTTGACTCTCCTGTGGAGAAGTTGTAAATGGTTTAAAGGCTGTGCTTTTCACACACCTACAGTGCCGTGATAATCTGCTAATCTGAATCCAAGGGATGCTTACAGAGTTATGTTCGAAAAAATGTTGACAATCGAAACGAGAATGTTAGGTGTACAATTATTTTTGGGAAGGTAATAAGCTGGCGCAAATTATCAACGAAACATTCCACATGTTTGAGTATTCGGCAGTTATACGCAGCTAAGAAATGGTAGATTCCCTTTAGGAACGAAAAACTTGACTTCTAGAAGAAGTTACGACCGGAACTACCTGTTGTAACGATATCTGTTACCCTGATAATATTTGCAAATATAAATCCACAAAAATATCTTTCGGTAAATAGAGCCAGAAGCATTCTTAGTGACAAAACTTTTAACATCCGTCTGTATTCAAAAAGACTACATCGAACTATCGGGGTTTAGATGCCTCATGAGTTTAACTATCACTATTAGCAGCAGGATGGTCACTTTATGAAAACATCCTATGATTTCTGTATGATTGGAGGGGTGCAACCTGGAAGCATGACCAGTTAGGAGCAACTTCCACTTAAACGGATTTCATTAATAGATTGGCCATCCGTTAGCTCTTTTTCAACCGCAATTTTCATGCCTTAGGAAAAATACCGGACCTTGGCGGATATGCTTTATTGCACCCACAATCCAGTATGAACTTACCCCTATTCTTTTTGGGTGCCTATTCTTCCGTTTCTAGAGGGATAGTGTTGTGAAACTGCCGAAGGATTAAGTAAAGCAATCAATGCATCATCCAATAAGTTCTCCTAAGGAAATAATTGTCTTTCGTCAAGGATTTGTGAAAATCGGGGAAAACGCCTGAGTCCAAGTATTTTTAAAAGGTTTTTTAGTATTTGCTCCATTGTTGTCAGTGCTTTCAGTGTTTCAACTTCAACCGCATTTTTGTCCAAATTTAATTTAACTTAATCTTGCAGCAGCCGGTAACATCGGTGATTATTCAGGGTTTTATATTCTGTTAGATTTGTTCATTAATTATATTGCAGAATGCCCCCTTCGTTGATTTTTGAAGTTCCAGAGCATACTTCTGTGTCGGGCTTAGAGTACGCAATGATAACCTGCAGCGACACGCAGGTATGGTTGTTAGTTCGCTCTGTGCATTTGCAACGTGTCCTCAGTGCCCAGTGGTTTAGAAACTGAATAACGCCAATAACAGGTCAGGCTTGTCGCTGTTTTAAACAAAGAACCGCGTCAAACTTGCTACGGTTATGCACACTTAAATGAGTATCTATACTTTAAGCTAGAAAAATTGAAAAGTCTAACAGAATTGCCCAAGACTGATGCATTAAACTTGAGTATTGATTATTTACGTTCATTAGATGTCACCCTAATAAAACTTTATCAAAGGAAATCTCATTCACCTAACATTTAATTTTTGCGCAAGCGTCATACTATTACACAAAAGACAAAACAGCTGTATTAATATAGTCAATATTTTTACTCTCTTTATACACCGCAGTAATATTTATTTAGGCACACAGGCGTGGAAACTTTCAAAAACATTGTTTTATTTCAGAGATAAATGATTTCTGGGTCAAAAATATATGAATAAAGCGTTCGATTTTTCGGCAAAAGCCCGATCCATGATCGGACCCACGGTGTCATAGTCGCCCGCCTATTGCACGTACTGAATTTTGCAAGACTTATTTTGAAAGAGATAAGGTAGAATTTGGAAGATCGAAGATGATCTTGCTGGGATAGGGCCTACTCGTACTATATATGCACGCCCGCACTATCTGCATACATGCGCAAATCCTTCCTTTGTTCGAACAACTTTGCTAACACATTAATCATCGCTAAGTAGATTCAATATGCTACCTGGGACCAGGTACAACGTAACAAAGCTTGCTTGTTTTGCCAATATATTTTGAAATAAATAGACCATTACCATTTAGTGACAAGATTCCAGAGCACAGTTCGTTGCTTTATTTCTTTACTTATCGGCATTACTTTTAAGTCTTATTTAATATCTATTAATTCATAATTGTAATGAAATACCATTACAGGCCATTACTACTATCGATGGTGGTGTATCACACATATACTGTTTTTACGAAGTAATTAGCATTTGCGCACAAATTGAGATATTAGGCCGCGTAAAGCAGCAAAGAGACATTATCATCATCGTGGAAAGGAACGAGTCAAGAAGCAGCCGTTATGAGAATATTTATACTGCCAATGCTATCACTCGCTGCTATGAAAATACGTCCCATAAGTAGAATCTTTCTTATGTTATTCTGACGCTGAGTGGAGTTAGAATGCTTCTTAAACACTGATAATGTTGGAAGCGATAATGAAAAAAGTTATATATAAATATAGAGCGAGAACAATGTGTGAAATAAATAAGGCATGCGTTATTTATGATATTATCATGTGATTGGAGCTCCGGCGAGTTTGTTTACCATGCATGATTATTCATTCACAAAAAGAAAATCTTTTACGTTTAATGTGTTTGTTTTGTGCCTACCGCCGTACAAGACAATGCGTGCTCAAGGTTCCCACCGAACGTACCTAAGAATATATATAGTCTCTGAGTTGTTCTCACGTTAAAGAGAAATGACGTTTATGCGATAGCAGCGTCTCAACACGACAGCCTCTCGAGTTTATAGTCAATACCCGATTACTGCCGCTGGCTGGACGCACCATAATTGACAAGATGTAGCAGATATATAGTGTATTGTAAATATAGAAACGAACAGAAGGATGTCCGTGAAAGCATGTATTGACTTGCGAAGAAGACGAAGAAAACAACGCAAAATAATACACATAATGTCAAACTGAAACAGAAAACAAAAACCCAATAAAATTAAACACATGTGTACATGTATAGCATACGTGCATAATATGTATATGTATATCAGGCAAAACGATCCTCGAGAAGTCTTTGACAAAAATTCTTTCGGCTCTAGCTTAGCTTCAGCGGTTACCGACATCAACATGAATTTCTGTCCATGATCATTTTTATGCATCCTTTCGTTTTTCACACAATGCAATAATTTTTCTACCTAACAGAAACAGACAATCATATAATTATAATAATATGACCATAATAGCTACTATAGTACGCATGGTTAAGATTAACTGTCGGCTATTTACCTTCTACAGATATATATCACCTTCTCTATAAGATATATATCACCTATCGCCATTGTTCAGATGCGATGTCAGTTTGTTTTCCTATTATCAATAACGAATAAAGTTATGACACTTTAAAATAGTACTGCTGGTTGTAGCTTAGTTTCAGACAGATTCAGTTGATGAAGAGATTTTTACAGGGACGTGTCAGTTCTTCTGTAAGTTAACGATCACTTATGGATGACTATGATAGTTCCCGATAGATTAATGGAGTCAAATTGGAACAACATCGATCAAATTTACATTCACTCAGAATTGAATTTTCGTTCTTCTTAATTCTTGTCTTCCAACAGAAACAGAGTGCATTTCAACCACAAATTACATTGCGATATATATATCGCAATCCGAGTTAGAGGCCCGGGGTAGCACTCGTCACAATGATCGTTATCGTTCGGCTCGAATTTCCGACGTATCAAGGATGTACTGTGAAATACGCGTATATTCATAATTCTTCAGCGTCGTATTAACATGAAGAGGATAAACTCTATATCTGATCAATGCTTCTTTGAGCATATCGTGCTTGAATTTCTAGTACCATTGGTAATTACTAGTACCATGCTATTATTACATCACATGTCGTGGTCACACCGGAATGGGGAGCCATATTCTCAAACACACGGTGGTTGGTTCCTTGGAATAGACGGTGGCAATTTTCTGCTACTGCACTGTTTTTGTATCACCTCCATCTTTGCCATTTCACCGATTTATAGAATCTTCTTCAGCTCAGTGCTTGTTCTCTGCATGAGACTGACTCGTGTGTGTAAATATCATTTAGAATTTTGTTTTCCACTCGAAAATTGTACCGTTATTATCGGCCACAATAGTGATTTTTCCGTGCCCCATAGTCCGCTATCGTAGAAGCCACATTTCGGATGGGTTGCTTCTGTCACTTGAACCGTGTTCAGTTGTATATTGAGTGTACGCATTCCTTCATACTGAAGTCGGATCAACCATTGAAAGGTGCGGCCGCCATCGCGCAAGACTTGTTCTTTCTGCTAAATGTTGCTGCCATTATTTTTTTTAGGTATTGTTCTTCCTTCTTTTAGGAGTTTATAGAACATACGAGATCGCATAGCTGGAAAAATCGAATTATTGAGATCAGCCGCCTTCTTCGAGGCAAGTACTTTTTAACCTATCATCTTATCCATAAGAACATGTATTCCATGAAATGAGAAAATTGTCTGTTAGTAACGCTACGAAAGGGCCAACATATTGGGTAAATGGCGAAAGTACATGCAAAGAACTAGTAGAGACTGAAATGATAACATCGCGAATTTGCAAAACATGACTTAAAGAGTCGGCGAAATGACAAATGATCGTGATATTCACATCAAAGTCACACGTACAGAAAGTGGATTGGTAGAATTACCTTAAAAAGCGGCACTCTTTCGAATATAAGCGGGTGCAGTTATCAGTGCGCGACATAAGGGGACATTGGCTAACGGAGCCCAAACCTCTGAGGTGCATCTGTAGGCCTTACATGGGAACTGTCGTCGATAACGTGTCAAAGAAGCTGCGTTTACCCTCCGTGATAAGGTTGTGGATAGTGCCATTTATCATACTACCATCTACTCCTATGTTTTTCTGTACATTTGATGGTCTAGTGGTAGCGATTGTGTAAGCACTGCTTCATGAGTTTAACTAAACTAAACTAAACACGCATTATAACCACGTCTTGGTATTGTGAGGCCTATAATATATATATATATATATATATATATATACTCAGGGCCTATACTCGTACATACAGAATGTCGTTCTTTCTTTTCTCAGGTCCGCTCGCTAAATCAGCTCTTTGACTCGTTTATATATCCTCGTCAACAGGTGGTAGTTGAGCCCATCGGACAAAACTGACGATGTCCCTAACTGGAACATTGTGTGCCATTGCCTTCACGGCGAGGTTTCGATCTTCGGTGAGCAGAACCGCTTCACGGAAAAGTCGCAAGGGTGCCTCCGTTTCACCCGGTTGAAGGGAATGGCCTGCGCCTGATGTTTGACTACCTCCTACCAGCGACAAACCTCCATTCAATTCGCCACCACTCGCTGAAGATTTGCCCAAGCTGACGGCGCACGACAAAATCAAATCGTCATTTGTCACGCCCTAAAACAAAAATTATCTATTAGGTATAAGCACGAGGTTCAAAGAAATCGATGTTTGTCGCATAATAAAAGTTAGTACTAGTATGTACCTACTTAGTTACGATAAGGCTATGTACGTGGGTGTTATGCGTTCCACTAAAGTTGCATCATGTGACTTCGTGCGCTATAACGATTGGTTGGATACATATTCAGAAGTTTTCTTAATAATACCAATCAATCTGGACTGTTTTGAGCAATTTTGTTGCCAACAAAGATTTCAAGAACGTTTGGTATCGCAAAACCACTGGTTAATGTCAAGCTCTACAGAAAAACTACTAGTTAAAGTGCGCTTACTGAAGCTTGATTGAATCGTGGAATTGCCACGCCAGGTCTAACGGTAATCTTATACATTTATGTATTGCTGGACAGCTATCAACTTTAGAGATATATCACATCAACAGTGAAGCATACCAGAGCGGCTTTAAGTGGAGTTTATAGATGTATTATAATCACTTGTAATTTACATACAGCAAGATCATTGCCGACTTCCGTGCGAAATGAAATAGAGTCTATTAGGTTTCCTCTTGAAGTGATTGTCCGCAATTTCGGCTCTCTTCGAGTAAATCGGTTCTCCAGATAACCGAGAGCTTCACGAGCAAACGTTGTCACTCGAGCGGCATGTGCTGGAGTTTGATGCGTCCGAGCATTTGACATGCAACCGCGAGCCAGGCCGTCTAGCTCACTCACAACTGCAAAGCACGTACAACAGTATCATTACTATATGGATAACTCTCAAGATAAGACTTGATAGTTACTACAATGGATGATCTTTGATCATTATGGGAGAGAAACCTAATAATAATAATCAAGAACGTCCTTCCTATTGTTGCTCTCGCCAGGTACTTTAGAATAGACAAATGATCGAGAGCCTGCACCTAATCATACACTCTTTTCGTCCTAATGCTATGTACAACATCGAAATGTTTGACTTACCAATTATCGGAATATAGATAGAATACGTTTTACAAGCGACGAGAGCGCGGACCTTATCGAGATGATCCACAAGGCAGTTTGTGTCAGGGATTAGAAAGCGGGGTCGAATTTCCAGGATGGTTGTTCCTACTCGACTGCTATGCAACACCCGCTGTAGACCCACACGCGTGACAGATAGAATCAAACACATTTAGATTGGGAGGACATCATCAAGAATCCTACTCTGGTCTCAATTTTTATTTCGTATAGTTGTATCGAAGCAAAGTATTCACTTAAATTATTTTTTGTCAAGCCAGTGCTATCTACAGTTTCGTCTATAATGGACCTACGGTTAACACTGTTCCCATAATTTGTCTCACTTACCTCGATATAAGCTTGCACACGGTTGTGTCGTTTGACACGTTTTTGAAGGAGATGCTTTTTCCTTCGCAGTTTCTCCATCTCGCCACTTCCGCCGGCGACTCCAGCCTGTCCGAGTTGATCATCACCTTCAAGCGCGACGACAGCGTCGTCATCTGAAGGATCATCTGATCCCGTTTGCTGTTGAACACAATTTACAGATTAATGTTGTTATATTTATTAATACAGATTACCGTTTAGAACACTATCCGACTCACCGATTCGTATGCAGGCTCATCGTCTTCTTCGTCTAATCCAATGTCGTCTGCGCCTGCGATTAATTCTTCCGTTTGGCCTCCATCGTCCCCAGCTTCGGGCAACAGCGAGCCATACGCTGACCTTCTTACGTCAAAGTGCAGATAAGGCGAAGGTGTCAGCCCGCACAGATAGTCGCCGAAAAAGTGCAATCGGCTGATTCGGAGCGCGGTTCGAAGTGCTCCTATTTGGCTAGCTGGAACTGGTGCCGCGAAAAACGTATCCACCGGAGAACCTACCCATTCATACCAAAAATTTCGTTGACAATCGTCAATAAGATCATTCATCTGTATAACATCATTACAATCCGACATTATAATACATACATTAAGTTTTAAATTGCATCATTATAGGTTTATGGGCCACAATATTCGTGGCTTACCGAGAAGTGGTACGAAGCCTGCGAGCGCCGAATCTTCTGGAAGCAATACCTCCATCGACTGTGCGAGCGTTCGGCATGTTGTGAATTCTGGTGCCATTTGTCCGACATGCGCTGAATCTGCTCGCATTAACGCGGTAAGAAGTTCCGCTAAAGATGACCAAATATCCCCACATTTTGTGCTGTCATTGACATAAAATCGAAATTCATATGAAATTTGATGATCCGCAACCATCAGGGACGGTTTAGAATGTGTTTACTCTGCGTTAAACTAAAATGAACGTTTTTCATCATATAGTTCGCCTGCTACTTTTCAATGATTTGCAAATCGTACTTACTGTGTAGCGAATTCGCAAGGATTCGGTGGTGGACACCAAAGCATCTTAGTACCCGACATCCAGTCAGTCCAGACTTTTAAAACTGAAAGCAGCTCTTCCACGTCGGGCGGAAGTAACGGGTAGTTAATCCTGCGATAAGAACAATTATAGAAAGATCGAAAAGTTATGTCAATATCGAGGCAGAATATAGAAAAACCAAAGCTTCAAGCCTAATCTCACCCCTAATCGGTGTGTAAAACATGGTTGTCAAACCAACGTAAACTGAGTGAACTTCTTTCATTCTCCTCAAAACACGATATTGGTGGTAAACTCACTGCTCGTCTACGGGAAGATGCTCTTCATCTCTTTTAGCTGTCTCGTAACAACCGGGATCCTTAGAGGTCCGACAGCGAAGATGTTCTTCAATGCGTTCGGTGCAGAACTCCATTATATGAGCTACCAACGACATCGCCACTTGGACTGATAGCTCCTGCATTAGCGAACGTGCATTAGACGCCAGCGTAGCCGTATCTGGAAAGTTCACATTGAATGTTCGCGAAATATAAAGCAACACACGAATACTCATAGAAACAATAAACTGGCTGCGGGTTGTCGTTGTCTGGGCTGACATTTAATAAAAGTAACATATCGCTTATAGCTTTTATGCTTGACCATAGTCAAATTTCTCCATACAGTCCGTTATGATTTACCGTCTAACATACGCACGCATACTTTTAAGCGAATTGTTTGCAATGGAGAACATGCAGATGGCCAGCAATTGGAGGAATCGTGCACCGGCGCCGGGTGTCTGCGGTCTTCGCAATAGTGTACGCAGCTCAAGGAGCATCTGAGCTGCAGTTTCTCCGAAATGTTCCATTCCGATCTTCGAGAATAGCTTTCCGTGTACGTGAAGGAAAGACAGGGTGAACCGCTTTGTCAGCTGCAAATATCGTGCAAAAAGGAAACGCGCTTATTCCTAATTTGTATTCGAGATGTGGCTCAATAATCAACAATTCACGCACTTATTAGTGTTATAATCAAGTACTCGAAATAGTAATATTTCATTGTAAGTAATGACAAGATAAACGCCCTGAAAAGAAAATTGTTAAAAGCAAAACGGCTAATGTACTTACATCGAAATCAGATAGTGCATTGATTTCTTCAAGCAGCTCAAGCTTTTGTTCGAGCTCAGAATCACCGCGACGCTGCCAGCTGGATCCATCTGGCCTGATCCAAATTTCGCACCTGTATTAAATATGCCAGGCAACAACTGTATAAACAACGCTGTTCTAAAACTTATCCTACTAAGAACAGATATGCTATATGCATAACCGTTCGCGATTAAACGATTTACCCGTATACGAAGAAAGAGAATTCATTCCTTGTCACTTTCAAAGTGTAGAGTGGTAATATTCGTACCATCTCACGCAGATATCTAATGGTCTAGATCTAATGGTGTAGCCGCATCAATACGTAGACTGTCGAACTGTCATTATAAAACTATTACCTTAGCACATACCTAGCAAGTTCTGGAAGAGCCATGTGCGCCTTCGTTCTGGTATTATCCTGAAGACCTTTTTGGATTTTCCTCTGTCGATCGATTGCCTCGCAGCTCTTCCTCACTTCGTCGAAGAGGGTCGTTAGAGACTCCTTTGCAGAGAGGAAGGGATTGCTAGCGGCCAGACTGCGCATGTAATAGTAAACGGCGTCCAGTTTGCGCCGCTACTCGACAAATGCAATACATTCGATCGAAATGCACGAAAAGACGTTAACAGCGATTTTTTGGGGAGTTGCTATATAACTGCTCAAATACTACAAGCTTACAAAAATAAAATTATTGTCATTTACCGAATAGACAGCGAGTAATGCGAGCTGATTATAGGGTTTGCCGTTTTTAGGGGCAAGCTGCTGCGCTCTCAGATAAAAGTCTCTGGCTCGAGCAAAGTTCGCACTCTCCAATGCCTGCTCTCGGTATCGACACAGATCGCCCAGGCTAATCAGCATCTTTTGTGCTGAAACCAACAAGATCTAAAAGAACGTACAAACCCATTTAAGCTAAGGAATTGATTAAACGTATTGTTTGCACATAGGCTGAATACGCTAGATTCCAAGATACTGTTGCCATCGCTCCATTATTGTGATCAAGCATTGGAACACGCTAAATCCCGCCATATTAGCAACATGTTACATGTTGCATTAGACAGTTGACTATTCAAGGGAAAAAATGCCATCAGATATATAGTAGCATCTACCTTGACTGGCGTGCTATTGGGTGGACCGTGTTTACTGCCACGGGATCCGTTAGAATCTCCTGCGTAACTATCTCCTAGCGATGTGTGGGAACTTTGATCTAATCTAAATCCATGGAGTTCCTGCATCCCTTCAAGCAAACTCTCATAGAAAGTTAGACCCTCCTCCACAATCGCACAGATTTCGCCTCGGATCTCAATGCTCGCTCGTGAACCTCCGTGGTCCACACATTCACGACGGAGTCCCTCGATTACCTGATGGTACACCGACTGAAATCACACGAATAGCGCTTTAGTAACTTTCTTTTAATAATCAATTCTTTACACTCACACCTACTGTATATTCCTACATTTTTCACTATATCTAATGATTATTCCTCATCACCCATACACAATCACCGTCTGTATAATTAGCTTACAGATATGTTACCTTCCAAAGCATCTGTTCGACGTTCTTTTCGGTGGAATATCGAGGATCGTGCAGAATTATGTGCTCATAGCGTCGCTGGATTTTAGCCCGAAGTTCAGTTAGACGTTTCACCCCCCCACCGACCTTAACCGCATCAACTAAATTCGCAGCCAATTCTTTTTCTAGATCGGCTCCTTCCGCCAAGTTTTTCTCAGCAGCTCCTTTCAGATTCCTATAGGATAGCGCAAGAAACCAAACGTATTTTGTCGTTGGCTCGATATGAAAAAATTAGTAAATGAGTGGCCCTCATTTACTCATATCTAACAAATTCCAATATTTTTTAGTTGACTCCAAACTATACAATAGCTAATTCAAGTACATAGAGTAGGTCCAAGATTATAAGGATGTACAAACATTTTCTTATTATTAAGGCCGCTTGTTAGACTAGAGTAGATTTCAAAAAGAAGTCGAGATAAATCCCCTTGGTAGTTTAGTGCTAAGCTTAAATAGGCATAAATAGACTTCGTTTCGTGCCGGCAGGAGCCAGCCGTCCGTCCATCTGATGCAATGCCTAACGGCGAAACCGGACGTAAAATGTCAGTTTTTATGGTAGGTATATGCAACATGGAGCTCTCTTGCTCAACAACTCGTATAGAGAACTGGTCAGGGTATTCAGATACACTTGAATCTGCTTCTGCGGTCTGACCGATTACATACCAGTATCACGTGATCATAGTAGAACGAATTAGATTAATTGGATGATAAATTAAAAGAACGACGCTTCACGGTATATGAATTGATTAATAAGTCATCGAGTAATTGATTTGCTATACAGCGCTTAATATTTAGTACTTAGTAAAACGCTGCTTTAATGGTACATGTTTGATAAACTGCCTGTAGAAGTAAACTTTGCACCATGAGAAAGAAACTGACCACTGCAGTACATGGAATCGCCAGCTAGGTCCTGTTATGTACTGAATAAATACAGATCAGAGGAGTAAGTTATACACGTGGTTGGATTAAACGGAAAAAAATACTGCACGAAGGCACGGTAAACTTTAAGCTGTATATTTCTCTGCAGAGGCGACCGAAAGGTAGCATGGTGCGTTTGCATGAAGAGTAGACGCTAGATCTGTGGGTAAGTTTATAGTAGCTGATACAACTGAAGCCCTCTGCTTTTTGTCCACGAAGTGGGTGGCGACTGACAGCTTCCCTGTGCAATTGCATGATAATTCCATTTGGCATGACGACATGAAAACTAGTATGTTTACTAAATGGAGTGTGTTTCAACAGATTAAACCGATGAAGAGCATCCCATATCACATGTCTATGTAAATCTTTATGAAATACGTAATTTTATGGTACAAGCTCTACAAGGTTATGTGACAAAGATGGTTAATTTAAAACACATTACCGCCTCCTGATTAGAAGACAAGCGAGCCAAGCTGCTTACCTGTGAATGCCACCTCCTCGCTCCCTAGCGTCTTCCCTAACTTGTGGAACCGGCCGTACGCTCATCAATGGCTTGTTACTGCCGCCCCCTGCGCCTTTGATGTCCCTCTGCCGTTGGTCAATTTCTTTCGCATTTCGTTGTCCTCCCCCCGCGTCTTTGTAGTCCCTATCCTGGAAGTCCTTCATATCCCTACCGTGTTTTACAGAACCTCTACCGCCATCTCTGCTGTTGCTGCTATCGCAGTTTTTGTCCGAATCCCTGTCAAACCCCAGCCTCGAATCTTTTCCGTCGCCTCGTCTATTATCCCTGTGGCGGTCATCCCTCTGATTGGTTCCTCCCGAGCCACGTTTTTCCATCGCCGATGCTGGTGCAGCCGAATTCCTGGTCCAAATCTCTCTGGGCAGAGGGTCACGAGGCGGGTTCCTGCTACCCGCCATGTTACTGCCACTAATAAAAATATATACGAAAGGAGCATGCACCAATATACCAGTTACTATGAAAACTCCACGTAGCTTCACGTTGTATTGGGGACAGTTAAACCCAGTTTTGGGTGTCATTCGAACACACTTAATGCCCCATCAGATGCACGAAACATTGTCACGGAAAGGGCCCTCACCACCCCCCTATGCAATATGATGGTCTTATAATTCATGAGAAACATGAACAAAAAAACTAGCTATTTTTTTGTTCAAGTTGGAAGTTGGCTGCTACGAACGCCTCAAACAATCATGATATGATTAATGACTTAGCTTTTCTAAAGACCCCTTTTATGATGACCTTGAAAGTTCTCCAATTTCACAAGCCTCGTGGTGGTTTTACCTTGCGGAACTTCTCCAATTGGTGTTCAGGTTTCGGCCGCCACTGGCTCCATTGCTGTTGCCAGCATTGTTGTTGTGACCGGCCGCGTTGCTTTTGTTGCTACTGTGATTACTGATATTGTTGTTGTTGTTACGAATATGCCTGTCAACAGCTGGCATCGTTCTAGGCGATGTCGAAGCAGACGATGCCTGCGGCCTGTCTCCCTTGTCATTGCCGACATTGTCCTTTGCCTTTTGACTGTTTGCAGATAAGTGATCTCTTCGCCTCCAATTCTCCACTTCAACAGGTTTGGTGCGGCTAGTTTGTTGTTCCGAAGCCCGCTCTCGAGCTGCTATCTGCTGCTGATCCCGTTGCCTCTGGAGGAGTTGAACCTGTTCCTTTCGTTGGCGTTCACGGGCCTCTTTCTCTTCCCGCTTTTGACGCTGCATCTGCTCAATTAGCATCTGACGGTCCAGCTGCTGCTGCTGCAATCTCATCTCTTCTTCACGCTGCTTCAGGAAACGCGGCGGAAGTGTGTCGGCCTGGAAGCCTCCATAACGTTTCTGATCGCCGCTTTGGTGTGAGTTTCGACTTTCGGCTCGCTCCCGGTTCCAGTCTCGCTTATCTCCTCGATCTCGATTGAAGTCTGGACTTCGGCGAGAACTGGACGGCGAATCTCTTCTGCTGCCTCGATCGTAGCGACCACCTCCGGCGCTGCGCTCGCTCATTCTAAACATTACAATATTTAGAGCGTTTGATTGAATGTCAAAATGATTACATTGTATGGTAATACGTTTCGTAGCTTTGAGGAAACTATTATATTATTATTGTTTATTATTATTACATTAACATTATATGTTATATATTTACGTTATATTATTATAACACCGTCAGGACTTAACTTTAACATTAACCATACTTCCTACTATGCTGGGAATTTATTAATCGTCGAAATAAATCGAAACATTTCATCTGATTATCTGCTAGATTTCTAGATTTCTGGGTCATACGTCTAAACTCTAGAGAGTTTAGACGCATGACCCAGATGATGAGAGTTTAGAGAAGTCAGCTTCAAAACGTAGGAACCAGCTAGATGCCTCAATAAAACTAACGTTTGCCAACGCAAGAAATAGATAACAACATTCTAATGGAAAATGTGTTGGAGTCATGTTGGCATGGGTAGAGCGTTAATGATTAGATTTATGTACCCACCCAAGCTTTGGTAGGAAATAAAACGTTTTTGTATTCAAATCAAAGTAAAAATGACCCGATCAGCTCGAACCCTCATGTGACTTAACGCACAGCCTTTTTTAGCTTTTGATTCGTCTGTAATTATGGTCATAGACGATACCTTTAAAGGCACGTACAGAAACACTGGAGATCTTATAATATTACTTTAAGAATAATGGGAAAACTAATTAAGAGGTAATTGCTGTCGTTTCCTCTGCAGCTTACCTACGATCACGTCTTCCGCCACCGGGTTGATTGTAGCTTCTCCCACTGTACTGTGAAAAGCTGCTACTTGCGTCACTATCCAGACGTCGACGCCCTCCTATCCAACTGTCTGATGATTGTGCCATCTAGAAGATAACATCTCTTTAATAAGAGCTTGATTAATGAATCTTGATTTCTTAGGCTATATAGTCCGTTGCACCATTGTCCTAATTTTGCAGAGTTTACACAATCATTTCTATCTCTTGTAATCAGCTGAGACTAAGATAAGCATAATTTGATGGACCACTCACATCATACTGAGAAAATTGTGACTCTAATTCTTATATGTGGAAACTCATACAGACTGGAGCAACTAAGTTCATAAAAGTCATTGTCACTGACTTGTGTAGAATGTGGTCGGTCCACCTCGTAACTGGCTGCATTGCCCCTGCCCGCGAAGTCATCGTATCCACGGTGGACCATACTTGCTCGAGTGATCGGACTCATATTACGGCCATTACGATCACCACATTCGCGGTCCATCTGATAGACAGGCTGGATTTCTTCCTGGTGACTTTCGAGTTCTTCAAGCGGCGGGGGCGTTGGACATTCCGTCCAGTCAAGCCGGGCTACCGGACCGTTCTCTTGTTCGCCCGGGAGCTGCAGCGATATTAGCTCATTGTCATCTGTTAAGTAGCAACGTACGAACTAGGTTTAGACGATTACATGAAAATCGGAAGAATCGTCGACAATTATTGCAAATAACACAAACGTAACTTATTCACCTTACTGCTAAATGCTTAGAAGTTGCTTACCATCATCTTCAGGATCGACGAACTGCAGCGGGACTTGCTTCTCCCCTGTCGGATCCGCCGATGCATTAGCGTCACAGAGTGCAACTTCTAATTGATTCGACTGTTCTTGAGTTTTTTGGGTTCCCGTCTCTGTTTGTTTGGGTGCGCTTTCCTGTAGCTGTTCATGGCTTTCGCTGCCATTCGGCTTCTCTTGAATCTCCTGAGAAGCCACTTTACGATCGTCTTGAATGCTGAAGGACTCTTCTTCAGCACTAGCTGCAGTACTTAATGGTTTCTCGGTGGCAGCCGCTTCATCGTGACTAGGATCAGCGTCCTGCGGGTCCTCTTCTTCATCTTGATCTGGTGTATCGTCATCAAGAAGATCGTCAGGTCTTCGTCTCTCTAGAGGTCCCCGACCTCGCGACCGCCTCTCTCGACGGCTGTCTCGTCTGCGGCCTTTTCCGCCATCGGAACCATTCACATCATTTCCATTACTGCCAGTGCATGACTGCAATTAATTGCAACAAAAAGCATCCGATTAATAACAAGTCTTTCCAATCAGGTGGTGCCATAAAGAACTAAGCAATGTTCGTTTTTAATAAATGAACAGACCGGATGGCGAAATGGAATTTTAAGGGGTAACAAATAAAATACATTGGGTTCTCCGCTAGTCTTAGTAACAAGGTCAAACTTGCTCAGACTGATCTGACATCATCACAACAACAAATTTAAAGTTCGATTACTAATACTAAAATGCAGTTGAGATACCTTTTCCCCTTGGCGGCCAGTAGCGTTGTCACCCTGTGATCCGGACCTCCATGATCCTCCTGCTTTGTAGTCGTTTTTCTCACTAGATTCGTCCACCCACAGCTGTCGGCCAGAAACGTTACCCCTAGGAGGCACCACACCCTAAGGAAGTGCAAACATTGTAAAACCCTTAAAGTTTCAAATTGAGAAACAAATAATAAACCATATGTTTTCTTTTTTAATATATATCAGGCCGGTTAATAACTACTTGCAAGCAGTATGCCTTGTCATCAGTGTAAGTAATGATCTAATGGCAGCAGTGGACGTGTGGTGCGAGTAAATTCACGTGGCTCGGTTTTAGTACGGTATAGTCTAGTGATCGTAATCCAAGCGGACAACTGTGAAATTTCTAAACGGAAATTAAATGAATGCTTTCCAGAGCAAGTCGGCTCACCGAACGAATCGATCAAATAGAAGCGAGAAAAAAATATTGTGGTCATTGATCATTAAGATCAAACAGGTTCTAATATACGAACTAGAGGGTTACGATTACACAATACTCTTGATTCGTCTCTGCGAACGTTATCCCAGCGGCTTATTCGTTCTCGGATTGGGCGCCCGGTTTTATACACCGTAGGATTATGACGGCGGCTACGTCTGCCCAACCTGGCTCCACGAGTCACTGCATTAAACTGTGCTATCGCATGAGTAACCATTGAATACCAGGCCACGCTAGCTCGGTCTCTCCGCCGTGCGATTCATCGGGCCACACAATCTGTCCAAGTTCATCGACATGAAATCAGAAGGTGCGAAATCAGTATGGGCCGTACTATGCACCAGTGCTGAAAGAGCCCTGTATTAATCGGGTTTCTGGAACACATGAATTAACACCCACCAGTAACCTTTGACTGTCGCTGGAGGCGTCAAAGGCAGGAAAAAACCAACTAGAAGTATTCACCAGTTGGCATACAATGCCACCCTTGGGCAACTCTTATTGGGAAAATATCAAGTATTTGATGGAAAGAAAGGAAACGTGTATTTTAGTATGTGCCGAGTGGTTTTTACCCCGTCATGACCAAGAAGGGTTAATTGATATTTCCAAAGGCGTCAAAATGGGCAGTTGCGGCAATCGGGCTACCGAGGACCACGATTAAAGTACTGAGATGAATTCACAGGTTATTCTACATGACGCGCCTACTGCCAACCCAAAAGGTGCATGTAAAGCCTTAGTCAACTATCTTGGACAACGGCCAGTCTTGTGAAAGGTGGTAGCAAGTTCGGCCAATTTCAGGAGTGTGTAGGTACGGAGTCTCTTACAAGCTCCTCGGTCTGTGAAGTATACCACTTGGATTCTACATCGGCAATAGTCTACACGAGCCTTGACGGAAGCATTTGCTGAGGCTGTTATGCAACAATTTTGCGTGAAAAGACGACGCAGCTGCAGGTGGCGCAGCTGATCGATCCTACTGTGGAATCCGTGGCGAATTAAGTTGGCACAACTTGATCGCACCGCAAAGTACAACAGCTGTTAGGACGATGACGTGACCAAACGCTCGACCAGTTCGTGGGCTGGAGCGCCTGGCGGTTCTACATCAAAGCTGTGGGAATAATCTCATGCTTGACTTCGCCAGCTGAAGCTTGTTTTTAACACTGCAACGCCTTCGCCCTCGGCGCTTCAGCTCGGGGAGCCTGTCTTCCTGCGTTTTTAACGCCAGATGTTGAACAGGTTCTGAAGCTGTTATTTAAATTCGGAGTTGGATGAGGCGTCATAGCGAAAGTCACGCCGTCACCTATCGCGGACCACGATAACAACATGTTACCACCAACCTACAAGATTTAGAAAGATTGGGAGTGGGGCAACCTACAAGATTTAGAAAGATTGGGAGTGGGGCAAAGGTATCTCGCCTGGTAACCTGATCGAGTGAAAGGGACGAACAAAATACATATTACAGTAGTTGTATCGGCGGTGAGTATATAATATCCTTTAGCTGGCCGGCTAATAGCTAGTCGACAGCAATCAAACCTCATTATTGCTTCGATATCTATGCGTATATATACGTATGCACATACATATGTATACAGGGAAGCTATTTTACCATGCATTAGCGAGAACTTCAGAAAAAAATTTATTTCTAACAGGACGGAACAGCTGCATACTCCTATCGTCACAGTCTCCTAATGGGTCGGACGGTCTCATAGACCCGTTCTTCGGATCAAAAGATCTGTGAGAATACTTGAAGTCTACACCAAAAAAAAAACTGACGACATAGGAAGATCTGGAAGGTTGTGAGTTATAATCATTCGAACTATGGCATGCATTATGCTGCAACAATCACGAGATTTGACCGCTAGCGCTTAGCTATAATCAGCCGGCTGGAATGTATAATATGCTCACCGCCGACGGAACTAGAAATACTAATATATATATATATATATATATATATATATTACGCGTGGTATATTCATATATATATACCACGCGTCTCACGTTGTATTAGTTTTAAGCCCCAGCGATACACAATGTCCGAGCCAAATTTTCACCTGTTTCTGCCAGCTCAGCTCCTCATCTTGGCCTGGTCCACGTCCACTGTCGTCTTCTCTTCCAACACTGTTATTATTATTGTTATTCGGGTTTCGGCCACCTCCTGCTCTTCTGTTATCTTGCTGCTGACGATTTTGTCCATTCCGACCAGCAACGTTTCTTCCTCTCCAATTGGACGAGACCCTGCCGTTGCTGCTGTTTCCAGGACCTCCACTAGATGCAACAGACATTTGGGAACAGTTTGAGTCCCTGCGCGCCCTTTCAACACTCCTATCTCCACGGTCACCAGCTCCATCATTTCCGTTCCCAGTGCCGGCCGTAAGATCCTTTATAGACCCACGAAGTGTCCGCGAAGACTCATCATTGCCATTTGACCTCCATCGATCAGATGGGCTTACTCGCCGGTCGGATCTGACCATATTATTACGCAATAAACAACAGCAAAATAAAAAATAACGTTAGATATGTGCTGCATGATGATAGTAATACGAATATCTGAAATTCAAAAAAATAATGTATAATATTCAGTGTAATGGCGATAAGTGTCTGCTGAATGTCTGTTTCTAATGGCGCTTACTTCCAACGAGTTGACTCGTTTTGCTGCCCTCCTCCTCCTCCTCCTCCTCCTCCTCGATTGTTACTACTATCATTGCCTCCAGTACGATTATTGTGGTTATTGTTGGAGCTATTGTCGAGCTTCTCCGGCCGCCAAAGCTCACCTTGCCCACGTCCGCCACGACCACCCCTAAAAATTAACATATTTGAATAATTAGTCTCATGAGTGTGCTGTTATAATTTGTTTTCAGTTCACCGACGATAAAATCGTGATTTTCTATCAAGTTTTGTTAGCGCTAGATATTTCAACGATAGCCCTCGTATTTTTTGAAAACCAATGAGGAATGTGCGTGCAACTAATCATGCATTATACAACCACATTCATTTTGAAAATATTAACTTGACACGGCTATTTCTTGAAAACAAAAAGGATTCCTTCGTTTCAGTGACGTAACGTTAGATTTGAAAATCTTTTGAACCGTGTTAATAAATAATATTGAATTGTTATTGTTAATATCTATTTCTCAGTCGTTCTTTACACCTTTGCTACCTACTGCCTGTATAATAGCGCGTTTAGTATGCCTCGGAGGGCCATCTATTTGCCATCTATTAATCTATGAACTCTTATCGCGTGATTTATAGGTAGTTTCATATTCGTGCAGTCTGCAGTTACCTTCTCATGCTGGGAAATGGAGGTCCGCGCATACTCATCTCTTGAAGTTTCTGCTGCACTGCATCCATTGGATCGCCTCGATCTCCTGCAACAAGCCGTATATGCAATTATTAAAAGCTATATATATTGTCTAGGCTTCATATGTGTGTTACCAACACCAACAATAGAAATTTCAATGGAAAAACATTTTGAAACTTAACTGGAACTAAATGGAACTAAAGTAACAGCACAGAAAGCGCAACGACAGCAACAAAAGAATAACCATTTTTCTATCTCACCAAAACTAATCAGAACATCCTATTCTGTAGTTTTCGGCTCACTAGCTAGCAAAATATGGCGCCCCACTCATTAATATGTACGTATTCAAGAAGTTAGGGTATGCACATTACTCGCATCGTCCAGTAATGTAAAGATAATATTGCGGTATGCTCTTGACAAAGCGATTCTTAGCATTTGCATCGAAACTGGGCTAGACTTACTGTTCGTTACTCCATAAAATTTGCACGGACCTCGAACAGAGTGCCCGCGCCGGGTAGACAGGCTTGGCCTATCAAAGATCATAGTAATTTCGTTTCGAAAGGCTATTATCTCTTTGGACTGTACACACGATCCGGCAATCTGACGGCAGTCCTTTGCTTGATAATTCTCAAATCTACACACAGGAGGAGTTTTTCTTTAGCGATCGTTGAGTTACGTTGGTACGTCGCGTTGTATACGCGCTGCTATCTTGTTGCTTCTGTGTTGATACTTACATCCAGAAACATGTTTCGCCTTTAACAGATTGGTTAAGTGGCTCATCATTTGTACGAAAACTTAAGTCTGAGTTGTAATTATGGGTAGGTTTTTTTTTGACTCGGAGATTGACATACCCTGATTAGAGCCTGTTGACGGCGCCGGGGATCCCCGACTGCCTCCGCCCAATCCCTTACCAGGCTGGTAAAGTGCTCGGTCCTGTTTTGTATTACGGCGACGTCGGCCGGTCCCACCACTGGTCCCACCACCATCTGGTTCTGTGTGAAACATTCTTTTTGATAAATGTAGGCAACAATCTTCGTACGACTTGATAATAACAATCAAATTTCTAAAACAGCGGCCATCTTAGAACATACAGAGTTCAGACCGCGCACACCGCACCTGAAGCGCCTCAAGGAGTAACTCACACGAAATGGCGCAATCATTCGAATTTTATTACAACAGCAACACAGCGCAACGTCTTTGAGAATTCACCGACGCTGACCATATAAGTTGATTGAGTATGTATGTATGTGACAACAACGCTCGCGCTTGCCATTAAAACGGATAAACATTAAGTGTGAGCCGTGTGGTGCACATTATCAAAACGACTGATTATGGTATTGTAAGGCACCACTGATTTTTTTAATTTTATAAATCTTCATTTTCCTTGGAGTGGCTATGCCTGTTTTTCGCTAAGTGACCCTTATGGCAACTTGGTTGCGATGACTCTTATACGAGGTCTTTGCGAGGCGCATTAGATGAACATGATAAAATTCGGGTCGTCGACAAAGCACAGCACTCGAAAAATGTAATTACGTAGAAACGCTTGTATAGGTAAAGCTGCCTGAAGCCTTGTTAATCCTTACCTCTCCGACGATGCTTAATACTGCATTATAGCTTCCAATTGACCTAAAAGATGAAACATGTCTAGATGACTCTAGACCTACCTGATCAGTTTTGAATAAACAATGGAGCTAGTCTATCCATTCAATGTTACTTATTACAGCACGAGACGTGAATACACTGCTAATATGAATGTAATTCTAGTTAATAACACATAAGCTGATATGTACATGTACACAAAAACATTTGAAAAAGGCGATTACTTGTTGAGCTCACTTGAATTTGCTGCCGTTAAGACAGATACCGATAGTCTGCAAGTAAATTAATTAACTTAAATATTACTTATTAGCAGATGTCACAGAACAGTATTCTAAAACAAAATTCCTCGTTAACAACGGCTCTATAAAAATCGATAACAACATCGAACACTTCCCGTTGTCCAACGACTGTCTCATCTACTAGGCTTATCGTCCTTTAATTAACAATGTCCGTTAAGATAATTTGGTTTATCTTAGTTTACACGAACAAAATCTCACATTTGCGCTCTATGATATGTCCGTGCATCGACTTGAATCATGACGGTGTACGAACGCTACGTATCCATCTATATAGCTGGAATAGCCTAGGTATGCTAGTAGGAATACTGCGCGGATTGCATCATCGTTGTAGCTGGCATACGTTCAATGCGTTCCCTGATTTGTGACGCGTTCGCGTGAACAATAAATGCGACACAACACTAATTTTCTATCAAAACATTGTCGTTTTCGCGATAGAAACAAAGAAGTAGCAACGAAGTTCAATCGGTTCTAGCGATGAGAAGCAGTTAGAATGGAATACGTAGCAGTGACAAAACCCAGATTTTTAAAATGTATTTTGCATAGACACCAACAGTAACAAGATGCGACGAGATCCTCGATCAATTCAAACACCTAATACAGGATACTAATAGATATAATATAAGCTCAATCCTAATACGTCTTAAGGAATTCTTGTATTACTGTGTGCAATACACAAGATGGCGAATTACCAATCAAACGGTTGCAACTGAAATGTACATTCTCCCATTTTCCATCACGAGACAAAAACCACAAGTGGTTCATAAATAGACGCCGTGCACTGAACTATTCGTTTCGTTCTTGCGCTACGATTGTTCATGCAATCGTTGAATATATAAAAATCTATAGGAATATCGGATAAACGAAGGACTTGTCTGTCCAAGCAGAATGTGAAAAACACCCTCACCAAACTTACCCGTACTATCTCCCATGATGCTCATGTAAGTTCACAATTATGCCGGCCGCGATATTCCTCACATTAAAGTCAATTGTTGTTGATCGTCGTTCTGTGTGTATGGGGTTAGAAAGTAGAAGTCGTTATTACCCTACTATTGTTGTAGCTCTTAGTTACATTTACTGTTAAGGTCTTCTTTGACCATCAAAAAATAAAGAAAAATAGGCTCACGGTCTACATCGATTCACAGAAAGTGCTGCTGGTGTGGACGATATACTAACATCACTGCTAAATTTCACAGCTCCAGCTCCATGGATCATTACACCCTGCCTGTCGTCATCTGCGTAGTTAAGCTCCGCCGCACAACAGACAACCCAACAAGGCCTGCAAGCGCACTCATACACACAACACTAGCAGCAGCAGCAGCAGCAGCAGTAGCAGCAGCAGCAGTAGCAGGAATCCCAGATCAAAGAACGTTGACTGAGCAATACACAAAGAAATTTATACATACAAAGGTCTGCCTCTCTCTTTTTTGTTTTTAGATTTTAACACTTTTAGTCATTACTTTTATGAGAACAAGTCTTAAGTAACCTATTATTAAATATAGTATCAACGACTTACACCCTTTGGGAGCCTGATCAGAGTGGGTCTTGCTGAGCTTACTTTCTGCCTCTCTTATCCAACAGCACAGCAGCAGCAGTAGCGCAGACCGTTACAGTCGGTGCTGTGGAGGGCCGCCGAATATGATGCTGCCGCTGCTGCTGTATGATTTTCTCCAAAACCCTTGTTTCCCAGCAATGCTTGAGCGGTCACTTGGCTGCTGCGTAGGATACTCACAACGCTTATGAAAGATTGTTTTCACTAAATCATCAGTGTCGTTGGTGTACGAGTGGCGAATCGAAGTTAGAAATAAACTCCGTTGGTGTCACCCTTGTAAGCGGGACTTAATTTTAGACGCGTACATATGCCCCGATGCACGCGCAGAATCGTATGCATCTAATAGTCGATAGACGGGTAAAGACGTGCTGTGTAGTTATTTACATCTGACCTAGCGGCTGTCAGTGGGTTACTCTGGTTTAGGAGTAGGCAGAAATCATCATTTAAGTGCAACTGATGGATGTCGTGATCTATGATGGAAGAGGTGTTTGCGGCGCGAGAGGAGGCAGGGGTAGTACAATGCAACTAGATTTCGTTAAATGAGCCTCACGACTCAAAACCGAGTTAGTTGAATGCAAATTCTAAATCAGACGAGCTCAATAAATGAAAAACGAGAGAGCAGCAGAACTAATCTATATTTAGTATTATAATAAATAATAATAATATAGATATATAATATTTAGCCAAACTGGTAAATCTATAAGATGCGCGTTTAGTGCCTATAAATATACAGAAACACTTATAATGACTGCTCCCTGGGAGATTTGTTCCTTGCCCCACAATCGACATTTTATACTACATATATTAGTAAATAAAGAAAAAATACATACGGTTGTATATAACAGCATATATCTCGTATAAGGTTTCCTTTCCTACTCCATAAAATAGGATAATCGCTAGTAAAAACCCAATATTTCTTTAAACATACATGGTAGGACTGATAACTTACCGTGGTCGGTTATCTTTAGGCGTTTAACAGTACTTTTATTAAGAAAATAAGCTTTTTTTTCACTTGAACAAAGGCATTGCAAACTGACGTTATTATTTGAAAGCTAATTTCAATAAAAGTAATTGAGAGTGTCAAAAATTAGCTTGTTTTATTTATCTCATTCATCGTATGCATATGCATGCTTACGATATCTGCTTTTACTCTTTGAATTACTAGTATTATTATTATGCAATAGTTGTGCGTAATTATGGATTATCTCTTTATGGTATGAGAAACCATTGGACCAAAAGCGTCATTTATATATGTAAGAACAGCCAAATCTCTCATGTGCGTTGTAAACCAAATGAATACTTAGGCAATGTTTTCAAATTTTCTGTTCCAAGAAGTACGGTGTAAAAAGGCAGTAGTAAGACGACTGCATGTTTGATATCCTGAGGTAACCATATTCCCTACTTGGAATAATTCTGTAGTGATATAAGTACCTTAAATCGCCAAATAAACTTTTTGATTAAACTCAACGTCTACGCTAGAGTATTGCGAACTTGCATGCACCATCCTGTATATTTAGAATAAAGACACGCTTCTATTTTTCTATCAAAATTAAGCTTGTGCAAAAGGCGCATTATTATTTGCGGTTATCTCGTTTTTGGACTCTTACTTTTACAGCTGGTAGATGCTTATGTATAAGAACCCATGTCGAATTTACATAATTTTCTGCTTCCGTTTCCTGTGTCATTAATTATGGCTGCTACAGGTGCTTCAGGATGTTACCATATTATTTTTTCTTAATTGAAATCGGTAATTCACTCGATTTGCCCTTGAGTTGGATATACTACCATTACATTACAATGTTCTGCTGTTGAATGCCGCTTGATATATCTAATGGCGTGCGATGCTGTGATGCCATTCTGTCTTGGCTGACAGTTGTTGAGCTTAGCACGTTTCTTATCGACACGCCTTTTTCTGTCCTCTCAAATGCCCGACTGCGCGTCCGGCGGGCTTCGTCAAAAGTGCACACAATGTGCGCTACTGTCGCCGCCTGCTCCACGCAACTGTCGTGTGTTGTTTGCAGATGTAAACTTGCTTTTTGAGTTTTACCTAGCCTGTATTTGTTGAAGTCTTGCGACGTCTCCTTCGAGAACAGCCACCCTAGCCCTGAGAGCTTTGTTTTCTCGTACTATGGAACACTCATTTGAATGTTCACATGCGCAATCGTTGAAAGGGTCGTTCATGTGTGCAGCTGCACCAAAGACGCTCGGTATGGCCAACGGTTTGAGGATTAACATGTTGCTAATGAGATCAGTATCAAAGTCTCGCGGTACGAAGTGCCTGGAACAGACAAGCACATCCCGCTTTTCGCGCATACTTAGAAGCGACAGCCATTGTTGTACGATTTGCTCTTCAGCTGGTTTGAAGTAGCGGATACTACTATTCGTGTAGTGGTTAATGAAGCCAACCTGGTCACATGTCCTGAACGAGCATCTTGGCGTCACTGTATCCATGCGATGCCCGTAATGACTTAAACATGCGTTAATTACATAGCGAGCCCTACGAAACGGTCAGCAAGAAAAAAACACATCATTAATTGCATTAATAGAGTAAACTATTATGGTGTTAAGTGTTGCCTTGGTAGGAAAGCTTTTATAAAAAAAAAAAGCTAACCCCGACAGGTCGGCGAATCAACATGTAGAGCCATACCTCGTTGTGTTTGTTACTACTGATTAGTAATTTATACATTTTCAAGTGATAAAAATGTGTTTCTGTTACGCCCTGCCATGCCTGAAAGAATACCTTATGTGTTCTTAGCAACGTACCTGGAGTTGTCTACATCGACGGTACAGAAAGCCACGCATTGGGGCACCCGCGAACGACCGCTCTCACGCATTTCTTTCCCTCGTTGAAATAGTCCGTTCCAGTCGCACCAATACTTGCGTACGATGGAGTTTCCTGATCGGTAATTGTTGCGTACCACAAACTTCACATTATAAAAAAGTTCTTCAAAAACTATCCACTGTTGGGCTGCCTCCCAGCTGGCGACCGTTACGGTTTTTGCTACAATAGGAAGATTGTGGTCTACCTGTAAGAATCCATAATGGCATTGGTCTACCTGTAAGAATCCATAATGGCATTGGTCTACCTGTAAGAATCCGTAATGGCATAAAAAAATAACATGCAATGCAAGAAGATGCTATCATTCAGCATAAACAATCCTCCTTCAGTGAAATAAAAAAAACCTTTTAAATGTCTCGTATGATTATTGGGAAATCCGAGGCCTAAGAACATTTCTTTACTCAGATTTGTGTGAAGCTATGAACAAAACATCTAAGGAGTGCACAATATATTCGTATGACGACTGTCATTTCATGTTTTGTGTTTTCTAGATTCTTTATGAATAAGTAATCTCATGTAATAAAATGTTAGGTTTAGGCTTAACCTTAAGGTGGATCGTTAGCCCCAACAGGTTGATAAACTGGTTACCACAATCCGGTTCTCCGCAGTTGATTTTAAAGCGATCCGAACGATCGGGATGATACCTGGATAGATGCTTTTGCAGTGCCGTTTTATGTTTAACCATCGCATGACACAGAAAGCACGCGATGTGTGACTCCTTTACGTGCCGCCTGTATGAAATGTAAGTGTCAAATTTAAGCAATCTACAATGATGACATGTGATGCGGGAGTGGGCCGACTTGAAGTGTGCTACTACGTTTGACTCGCAATTAAACTGCAATTTGCACTGGAAACAGTAAAAGTCGTTAACAGAACCTAATGCTAAAACATCCCCCCGTTTCCCAGTGGAACCACAGTCGTGTATGTCAATCATGGCTTTCTTTATTAAGGACCCGCTGTCGCCTGAGTGCCTCACTTTTCCTCCAATCGATTGCGTAGTTAGACACCTTTCTTTCATGTTTGAAATCTCATACGATGTTGGTGCGCTTTTGTACGTGATTGGCAATTGACGCAACTCCATTGTGGACTGTCGTATATTTTTGCTCACGCTGGGGAAATGCTGCTGCTGCTGCTCAGTTCGGGGAGCCTCTGTGGTTCTCAGGGCAGAAAAACCGCAGGACTCAATATCGGGAAGAGTGTGCTGTTGTTGTTGTTGCTGCTGTTGTTGCTTATGCTTTAAGATGACCAAAGCATCAGTTACGCTGTGCGTTTCGTTAGTGCTCGAAGGCATTAGCGGGGCAAAGTCTTGTGTCAGACTGGTATCGACCACCAGATATTCTGCCTCTCCCTCAAATGTTATGAACTGCTCCATCGTTAGTATTGGTAACCGAACGGTTAGGATCTGTCACCTATAATCATGATGATATTGAGAAACGTAATTCGTAATGATAGATGTATTCTATATGGTATATTATGGAAATAGTTCAATATCCTTTATACGTATCGCAGCTTGCCCCCGTTCCTTTCGCGTGGTATTATAGATGGGTTTTAAGATGCTCCTTGAGCTTGGGAATAGTCGGCGGCTTGTATTCGCAACGATGACACTTTAGATCCTTTTTAAGAAGTACTTCGGCAATACGTGGCTCGACAACGGTAAAACTGCCATTCGTACGTATATCATTCACAACAACTCCGCTGTCTACAAAGAACGCGGTTGTAAAGCTGTTCCAGTGTTTTTTGGTCTTCAGCGATGGAGAATCGAAATCTTGTGAAATGACATGCAGATGAAGTTGTGCCATAGAAGGTACTGCGTGATAGCCCAGCCGAAAATCTTTCTCATCTAGCCCATTGTCCGCAATTAGCTGCCGGCCAATCTTTTCAAGGTGTTCCAGTATCGGGACGTGGTGAGATCGAAGCGCTTTTATAGTGGGAATATCTTCTCTGGGTAGAACCAGCCAATGATGGCGGGCCTTCGGAAACTTGTCGGCAATAGCTACGCATGTGGCGTCTGCGTATACCTGGTTACCTTCCAAGCTCATCGCTTGCTTCAGTCCCGTTAAAAGAGAACGGCGTTTTGATTCCGGGGCCACATCTTCAGCAGTACGTTTAGACATCATTGCATTATTGGATTGAATCGGATTCGTCTAGATGACACTGGCCCCGGTAGAGACCTCGTCTGGTAAAAACACTTCCCACTATTATGCAAGCTCTAGCCCAGAAGTAATCGGGGTAAACGTCTCACGGCAATACACACAATGTATATTTAGGTAATTCTGCGCTAATTGAGATTCGATAGTGGACACTCGCCGCTCTATTAATACAATCCTCACGGCGTTCACAGATCCACCGAATGAACTTCAATCCTGTCAAGGTTCTCGATAACTACGCTAGCTGGTATCCCGTTTGCGGGAGTTCAACAATAGAAATCTAAAGTCGTACAGCCAGATAGTAATATTATAGACTTGTGTACCCCGTACAACAAACGCACAGCGTTCACGCACAAACACCAAACATCTATGGTAGCATGATGCCGAGATGTTCCACCTTTGCTTTTAGGTAACAGTTGTTTGTTACAACAGATTAGAACATCAAAAATAATTATGCCACTTTTTAGTGACATGAATGACGAAAATCTTCGACACTAGGTTTATCGTTTTACAGCAAGCACAAAAAAATCGATGGCAGACGCCGGCGTCCGCGAGTTTGGCTTATGGACTAAGCGGTTTTGCCAATTCATCCATTCGTTTTGATCATCTGTCTCTGGCTGTGTATCCAAATGCGTGTGAGTGTTAGTAAATATCGGACCTTTTCTGCCGATAGGGGAGAGAATAGTAACTAAGACTGTGCTTAGAGCCGCAAAAAGCATGCTCCTCAGATATTCGTCAAAACTGTTTATCATAATGTTTAATTCTTCAATTTTTGTCATAATTTAATTTTTGCATTTGTGAAGATCCTTTCTGTGACTTCAGACGGGATTCATATATACAATAGATAAACGGTTGATGACGCAAGCGAAATCCAAGCAAGTGAGAGTCTGCTCGATTTTACGTACATCACAATTTCTGTACGGCTCTTTGGTAATCTTTAATTTTTATGTCTTATCAGCACTCGTATAATGCTTGTTCATGAAACAGGTTCCGGTAAAATTGAAAAAGTGTGTGGAAAGGTTCTTATAATATAATTCTCCTTGCGCTACTACTTAGCCGACAGATACTAAAGCCTGTTAGGTTTTACGTCATCAAAGTGTGTACTGTTACCACCAAAGTGGCTATTCGTTTTAATAGTGATCAGTCAACCGCTTCATTATAATAGTGATAATAATAATAACAGTGAATAAAATTAAACTTGTTTATTTACCCATTTTATAAATCGGAAGAGTGTCATCATGGCATTTTGCGTAATGAGAAAAGTCTTTCATTCAAATGGTTTAGGCAAAAGAACGATGTCTGGGGTACCTTCAGTAGAACGGGTAGCTCTTGTAGCCTGTGGGTCCTATAATCCGATTACTAACATGCACCTTCGTATGTTCGAAGTCGCCAGAGATCACCTGCACGCCACGGGTAAATATGGTTATTTTGAAGACGGATGGTTGTACGTTGCTTATTTACTATATATGCTATATTTGCTGTGTCAGCTTAGAGAAAGAAAAAAGAGGAAGTTCGTTATTCACTTATATATAGGAATATTCTACGGTAGTTCAGAACAGCCAACTATATATACAACGTAGTTAGTTTATCTATCATAGCGTTTCCAAGTACTGCACCAGTCTAACGAACCAAAAGTATCTAAGTAAATAGTGTAGATTAACGATGTTAAAAACTTGAGAACAAATGCTTGGTATAATGTACGAAGTAATGCGGTTCGATCCAGGCCGCTACAAGGTCGTGTGTGGAATCATCTCCCCCGTTCACGATGATTATAAAAAAAAGGACTTGGTGTCTTCTAAGCATCGATTTGCGATGTGTAAATTGGCGGCCGAGGTGCGTAATAAAATTTTTGTAGGATTTTTATGGTGGCTGAAACTTGTTTGAAACGATTTAACCGTGCAAGTGAGCAATTTCAACCCACAAAAAAATTCTGGTAGGTTAAAATAAGTATCTTTCGATCAACATATTAGGAGCGATAGCGTAGGTTTTCCTCTCTAAATGGGTTTTTTCTATTGAAACATTTCTTATGCTGTCAGGATGCGATATTCCAAAAGAATGCTTCAATAGGGAGCGTCTTGTTTGAAGTGACAAAACTGGCAAGTCTAAACAACTAGATATTCTTTCCTTGCAGACCTCGGATTGGATTAGAGTAGATGACTGGGAAATATCCCAACCAGAATGGACGTGCACGCGGGACGTACTTAAACATTATGAAGAAGGCTTTAATAAACATGGGATTTTATCAAACTTCTCAAGGTATCGCATAGAGGACAACTATCAAATGCAGGCATTGATTCTAGATTTCTTAGGAAAGTATTCGTAATATTTCTACCTTGTTTTGCACACCTTAGAGTACATTCTATATCCTAAGCTAAATCGTACAATCTTAGCAGTTTTGATCATATTATATTAAGAAAAGCTGAACTATGTGGAGCAGTACGGTAAAGATATCAACGATGAAAGATGAACACGATATGATAAAAAAGTGTCTAAAAAAAGGTTAAATTGAAGGCCATCGTTTACCAGATGGCATGTTCGCATACAGGAGGCAAATCGTTTTAGCTCGGCAACTTCTTGTATCTGGCAAACAATTTAATTTAGTTGCCAGGTGCAGGAAGTCGTATTTAAGCTTGATTCGCAGGGCGCTAATTTTTGGGGATAGTTCAAGAGCCCTTTTATCGAGTTATTTTCCTTTGTTAAACGAATGGTAGCCTCGCACGAAGTGTCGATTATATACTTTCGTATTACGTTTCTTTTCAACATCAGAAATATTAAAAATGAAAACGTAGATACGAACATTTTTGCTGGCGACAGAGATCAGTCGCATTTAAATTCAGGGGCGATTCGAGTAATGCTTCTATGCGGCAACGACTTCCTGGAGAGCTTTGCAATACCAGGGCTGTGGAAAGCTGATCATATCGACGAGCTCACCAAAAAATTTGGCATGGTAAATCAAGACGCAATAATATTTTTGCCGCTTATTCACTTAGCTATAAGTAAAAAAGAATGGTTTCATATGTGCGTTTCCTAGATCTGACCCAGGCCTCTTTCTCATTAGCATCCATTTCATTATTAAGCCTATTATATTTTAGGATTTATATTTAAGGATGCAGACGTTTGTTCTACTCGTAAAAACAGTAGCAGTCGCTACGTCAATGCTTTCAAAGATATGTCAGGTTATTGTCAACCGTTTTTTCTCTGACTTAGGCCGTCATTTCCAGATCAAGTTGCGATGCTGAGAAGTTAATCTACGAGCAAGACATGATATATGCTAACCGCACTACAGTCCATCTTATCAAAGAGTGGCTTTACAATGAGATTTCATCGACAAAAGTGCGTAAAGCTTTGCGACGAGGGGAAAGCGTTAAATACGTTGTTCTGGTAAGCAGAATTTGTTACTGATTGGGTTGTTATGCTTACTAATTGTTAAAATTGTTACTAAAACTTTTGGGACGTTAACAAAGTGGTTTTATATAGAACATGCATATTTAAGTAGTAATCACCTCGAAGAGGAACAGCATTGAAACGTTCAAAACAACTAATTTAAATTTGAAAATAACATTACACAACAAATACCCTCATGTAACTCACAATTTAGTAGAAAATAGTCAGCCTTTATTTAATTTTTGGATAGCATTAGCTGAAACAAATATGGATGAGGTAATTCTTATCTCTTTTGTGTTTCAGGATTCCGTGATCGGTTATATCGAACGTAATGGCCTCTACAAAAGTTAGACCATGCGGACATCGCCGAACCACTAATTTCGACATGGTCTTAACTGGAGTATACTCACATGGATTCAAAGGTATGAATAAGTGAGATTACAAGTTTTTATTAATTCGAACACTGTCGATACCCTATAGTTACCTACTCGTAAAATAAGTCATCCTAATTCATTTGCTGCGTGGAGATGCTCCAAGTCAGGTCTAACGACGTCAGCTTTGGCATGAAAATACGTTGTTAGTTCGTAGATGCTTGCTGACGCTAGTTGTACGTTGTTATCTCCAGTCATTTAACGTTAACATATTGTTGGATATTTTTTTTAACGTTTTCGGTTATTTTCAACTGTATAACTAATGTTCGGAATTAACTCCTCGATATAGTGTCAATGACCTGCTCCCACCAGACGTTTCAGTCTAGATAGATCTGGCCGAACCCATTTGGGTTCTTCCAACATGGTAAAAAGAACAAAAAAGGCATGGTAAAAATGTTGTTATGTTGCGGAATACAGCTCGCTTGTATTTTTGCATTAGCATTTACCGATATTTGAATCTTCCTACAGCAACAAAATAAACAGTCATTTTAAAAGGGTTGAATAGAATAGAAGTATAGGGGCTGAATGTTTTACATCTAGGAAAAGGAATAGGGCTCAATATGGCATAAATCTAGCAAATTCGTTCGGATAAAGGGACAACGGGAATGCTTTTTTACTAGCTATTTCTCGAAGTTCACCAAAAAATGTGACTTTTGCCTCTAACTTTCGTTGTCGTTCACTAGTTGCCCGCGTAGCTAGCTCTGTAAAAGAATGTAAGAAATAGATAATGTTGACCTAGAAATTAGCTACTTGATGGGAACAGTAAAAAAATTAGCCACCCATTTAGTTTGTTTCAGCTGTTTTCTAGAAATATAATTACAATCATATTTCGCGATACTAGGTTCCGAAAAAGCAAACGAACCAACACGTTTTTCAGGATCTATACATACGTTCAAGTATACAAGCTATATTGAAGTACATCTAACCAAGTAACCATGACTATGACCAAATTTAATATGGTTTTCAATTTACCTCCCATGCAAGTATCATGCCACCTAATTTTGTTGGAAACGTTGCCTTTATTACCTGTTTCGCAGTAAGGGCTTGTGATAAGCGCGACTACCTATAGAGTATATATTTTGATTAACTTTCTTTCGTATGATGTATTCGTTATATTTTCTAATTAAATCTGCGGGTCTACATTTCAGGTGCCCCGATAGCGTTGTTTTGATCCATTGTCAGCATATAATCATTTCTATTCTGCGTTGCTGTATCAAATACAAAAAGATGTTATCCTGCGGATAAGAGTATATCGCCATTGATCGCGTCAGATGATTATCACTTACCAGTTTGGCAGTACCAGCAAACCTAGCATTGTAGGCCTAAATGTGTCACACGGATTATCATTGTTTCAAATGAAATTACAGTGTACAAACACATTACATACAAAGAATAAACACTGATTAATTCATTAATATTAAAGTATTTATTATTTATGAAAATATGGATATTTTCATTCATTGAACTTTGTTGTGAATTTTGTAAGCATGTTTAGTGTGATCTCCCTTAGCGGACTGCTCGGACGTAGAATACGCGTTTTGAATGAGGACTTAAATTTTATTCTGAAGTATCTGTAGTACTATCAAATTGAATCACGGGCATCGATAAAATAAATTCACGCTTTCCAAAGTTTTTCTTGAAACATTGTTACGAATTTAATAAAGTGATAAGGGGAGGGTTTCTTGGTGATCCCAGACAATTCATGCTAGGGTAATGTTGAAATCTGTTTATTTTAAATCAAGACTCAGATCTCTGAATTCGAACATTTGGTAACGAAGTTACTGGCTCAAGTGTATTGAAAACGAAAACGAGGATGAAATGTGTTAAGTAAGACTGTCTAATTTTATCAGATAGCTAAGCCTATTTCATTGTCTCAAAATAATTCTGATGCGTATTATGGCTTTTGTTTGCAGGATGGACATTCATTAATATTTAAAACTAATGTTTACTTTACAATTGTTCGTTTACGATGGGAATTGTCGTACGGGAAAACAGGTGACTCGATAGAAACGCCTGCCATTTCGACTAGTTATAGTTGTGCTACAATAGAGAACTTCTTAAACAAAGTTCCTATTATACCCCAAGTATCTCTAAGGAATATACTCTATGCAGACCGAAGTGTGCGCTCTGAACAATTCTTTACTGTAGTCATACCTTTGTTAATTCATGAGAAACGATACTAATTATATATATTGTAACAAATCAAGGCTGCTTGCATTTTGTGCTAAGTAAAATGCTAAATGCCTTTCATCCTATCCAATAATGTTTCAGCTAAAAAAGTTATTATTATTTCAAAATTGCGTTTTTCAAAAAAAAACCTCCATTCTAAACATATTAAGGAATACGCTTATTATTATTATTATTATTATTATTATTATTATTATTATTATTATTATTATTATTATTATTATTATTATGTACAGAATAGGGAACAGATTAATTTATAATATATACGTAAAGCTTAAAATAGATATATGATATTACCTAATTCCAGTGATTGACAAGACTAAGTAAAGTTTTACGGCCATTGAATTTCACGACTATAATAAGTGTTTTCGTACCTCAAACAGTTCCGTGAAACGTAACGAAAGAATTAGAAGAAGGACGAAAAGAAACAACATCAACAAAAAAAAATGGCCTGCGGTACTGTTTCGAATAAAATTGGCTAGATCAGAGAAACAAAGTTTGCCTATTTGAGACAAGCCCGTGGTGCCTAGAAAGATAAATAATCTTTCTAGTCACCACGGGCTTGTCATTGAGTGGTACATTCAAGCAGTGCGCCATCTGTTTCGTCTGCTAAACTGGCTGCAATGAACTCGTAGGCAACCGCCGCTCCGTTCGGGAGTTGCGGCATCAACCATAGTGAAGTTGTCATATTGGCCAGGCAAAACGAATATCTATTATAGGCTCATCGACTCATCCTGTCTACTACAGCAGTTATATTTGCAATTGATTTCAGTGAATTTAATACAAAAATATTCGCGTACGTACAAATCAGTCATCACAAGCGATACTTATATCAAACAAGGCCAAGCAGTTAAGATTGCGTCTCTCTCATTGTCGAGAGTGTGCCAAGCTGCGGAGAGAGTCTTAGCCATGAACTTTATTGTTCAGTAGCTGACGCCGGCTACTCTCGTGTTACCTTTTAGGCTCTCAGCTGTGTCTTTACTTGTATTGTATTGTCCACAGGAAATTCGCAAGCGCTGGCCAACAAATCAAGATTGGGCGTGAATGATTTCTGTGCAGTTTCCACCCTGCTTTGCGATATCTTTCGGCAAATAGTGAAATACAATCCCTTTTTTATTCACGATTTCCCACTGTAACAGGGAGACAACTAAGAAGCGATGCGCAACGTCGCCCAGCTGAGAGCAAGATTTTTAGTGCCGGCCTGCATGTATTAAGATTCAACAGGACTAAGTCCTAACGTGGAGAAGTGTTGGGCGTAAGCTTGTCATCCGTACGTATTTGAGAGTCGTAGGAATCTATATGTATTTGAAAGTCGTAAGAATTCCGTAGAATTCAGCTTAAATTCCGGTGGGCAAACCGTATAAACGAAAATGTCTTCTGCCCGACGAGCTACATTACTCCATGTCGAAGACCGCGATGTCTACTGTCGAAACGGATGCCAATTTTACGGAAATCCCGAATGGGAAGGATTTTGTTCCAAGTGTTACAAGCTCATACGTCAGCAACAGCAACAGCAGCTTCAGCAACATACGAAAAATAAGGTCACCAGTGCGAAAATACAACTATCTCGACAGAGTTTAAGGTACGTTTATCGGCTATGAAGCTTGCTTTATATCAAGTAGGAATTCATGTTAAATTATAATTCCGAATAATATTAATATTTAGTGACATATTGGTAGCTCACACGATATGATTTTTCTTCTATGCCGGCAGTTGTGTTATACGAATATCGAGTTGCCGAACTCCTTGCTATTTTTAGCAGACATACGCATGTGCTGGTTGTTTCGCTAGGCATAGATACAATTTGAATATAATGAAAAACAATTATACACTCTATGTATATTGCTGGTTAAAATACGTGTGGATATATATATGAGAAAACCAGCTGATTAAATTCGACTCAACAAAAAATCTTCACTTTATAAAGACGTTAAGTAAATTTATTGAACGTGTCTGTATTTAAAATGCCGCATCATTTGTGGCTCGCGATGACTCGTAGCGGAGTGAAGACTTACACAAAAGCAAGGTAAAAAATGAATGTGAACAAGGTCATGTGTTATTGTTTATCGTGGATTGTTGTAGAGAAAATATCTGACGACCAAGGTCTTAAATATTCAAAATGACGAGGTCTTACGAGAAGTTTAATAGTCTGGAAAGTATATCGTCGCCGAAAGGATGTCGCCGAACTCTGATAAATATTCGGTAGAATTTTAATGCTAAAGAAACTAGAAAATAAACAGGCATTCGCTTTTCGCTTCATGCAGTTGTATTAACTGCCTATTTTCAATAACCACGTTTTTTTCTACTTGTAGCTGCGCTGCTTGGCAAGTGATAACACGATGTCATTAATTCAGGTAGTAACGCTCTAGGAAAACAGGTTAAAACCGGAATTTCCTAACCCTAATCTCATAACATTAGCTACATTAGTCGTGTTAAAACGAATCGAAAACAGAATTCTTCGCAACACTGCGTAGCAAATTACAGTGCCAGACCTGAAATGGTTGATGCATTATAGTCAAAAACATATATAGTATAGCGGGCTAAAATAAACGTCACATAATTATATGTTATCTAATTGTCTTAATGTGACAGCATCGACAGATCAAATGACCGTAATTACGTTCTGAAATATATGCAGAGTCTTAGCTGTTACGTTCTGTTTTCTAAATTTCGTCTAACATCAAGGATACTACATTTCATTGAGATATACTGAAAATGAGTACAGTTCTTTCCAGTACATGCTCGGTTTAGGCAAGTTTTCCACACGAGCATTGCCTAACTTTTGGAAGTTTTATACGATGCGCATTCACAACATGATGAATGGGGGTTCATGTTGTTGCAGCACAAACATAATTTTTTTTTTTCACTATTTGTGCATGTGGCATACTCGAGTAAACAAGCTCAAACAATGCGCGACTTCAAAATTATTTTTTCCGGAAGTGTTATGGTATAAACCGCCGTTGTCTAATGCAAGCTCATGATTCGAACAAATGCCATGCAGTTGTTCATCGGCTAAACAAAGTTATTTCCAGTTGGGGCACTATAATGAATAAATGGCTTAAAAAGCGTATCTACGCGCAGTATATTGTTGCATCGTAGTAAGCCAAAGCTATATGCATATACATCGTGTGACTTATGTATGTGACTCAATGATGTAGTTTTTATATGACGAAGTCTATGATAACTCGCCAGCCTAGCCTTGCGCAACGCGAGTGCGGATGTAGTATTGCGTCGAGCAGTTACGAAGCACAGTATCGTTTTGCCTGTCGCGTGTTAGAATAAAGCCCCAAATACATTGTCAACTATCTTCCCACATATTTTCACTCACTTGGCAGATTTGATATATATATATATATCGATGAAATTGAATCTCAATAATTTTGGATGCAAAGGGGAACTAGCTGGAACGTGTTGTTATATATGTTTCGTATTACCGTGGCTGGTTTGAAGTTTGTTAACCCCAGCTTAATCCAGCGGAAATACCAATAGATAACTGTCAATAGTTCATTATGTTGTGCTGTATTCTTTGAAAAGGTCTGGAGGTTACTGGCTGTCCTGGGTTTGTTTTGCGAGACTGCATTATATGCTTTTGTTTCCGTTTTTCACTGCCGTAGTAGCGTACTAAGATAGTCACAATAGTAAAGTCAATTCAAAATGGTAGAATTTATACTACTCGTCAGTTGTTTATTGTTCGAACTGTTTATCGTATTAGCAATAGCGACAGAGTAGCGGGTATCTGAGAACTAACGTCACGTGCTGTAGATATCCCTAAGGACGTAAATTTAATTATGACAGAATATTTCAAAGTTTACTAATAGTGTCGACTAAGAAATTTCAGTGTGTCCTTATCCTCCTGTCGACATATCAATGTGTGGTATAACGTCAACGTTTATGTTCGCTCTCCATTTGTTCTTCTCTGTTCAGATTAACAGTTCTTAGCTGAAATCATTTTGTGCATTATACAGCAATGTATTATATGGCTTTTAGTTGTTCTGCAGACGTAGAGCTTTCATCAACAACGTGCGAACGCATTGAATTAATCGAGACCGATACACGGATGTTATTGACCGATGTGTATCGATATAGCGTTCTGTGTTGGCTTGTAATTTGGTGCTTAGGGCAAAAGCGGACATAATTCAATGAAATAGGACTCAGGCTCAAATGCTATAATGTAAAAACGTGCATAGTCTCGGGCAGTGTGTGCAGTGTCGAAAGAGATGCGTGGATACCTGGCGATATCGCTTGTAAGCTGGTGATTTTTGTGTAACTACTCCGCATGGAAGCCCTTTTTAAAATTCTATTTTTAAACTCTGTACACTCTTATAAGAATTCCTGTGAGCTTCTAATAAAAAAAAAGGGTTCATCCTAAAAGAAGTCTCCATTCGAAGCCTATTTCAGTGTTTTGAATGTGTATCTGTGAGATAAACAGAAAATTAATGAAATAATGATAGAATGAATTAAAGGAAGTTTGCAATTTATTATTGCGCGGAGAGGAGGATGCAAGCAAGATGGGTCTCATATGTGCTCACGTGTTCACAATCAGTCGTATAATATAGAGTATCATCAACAGTATGGATCCTACACAAATAGGTTAGCTACAATTACTATAAATGTCGCACTGTAAATAGTTGAATAGCCGTGTTTATAGCAAACATGATTTAAATATCATTATTTCATCGAATTATTTCGACGACGTTGTTTAGGCGGTGGAACCCTTTGGTATTTAAGGCCGTTGACATTGTCCCATGCTTCGCCCCGTGTGTGTATCATTTTTCGTGCAGTCTTCTCTAATGCCGTTTTCATGTACTATGCCTGACCATCATTTGATCCGTTGTCCCATTCATTATATAACATTAGCTACTATTATTCTACCCACTCAGATATCATTACGTCTCTATTGGAACAATTCGTTGTGTGAATATTCCATGGCCGTAGCAGATGCCCCCATGTGGCCTGCTTTACTGTTTCTCCGCTACAGCCTTTGTTATAACCTTCACTTAAGTTTCTATTGCTACACATAGACACACATGAATTGTACCCTTCAACCCGTGCTATGACTAATTTTTTAATTGTCCTTGTAAGCCCCAACTCAGCCTCTAAAAAGCGGTTCTCTATCGCATCGGCTTGTACGTTGCATCGCCCTTACTGGTGGACGGGATGTAGGCAAATAAGAGAAAGTGCGCGCGAACGTATTACAAATAATTACTAAACTAGCGATTCGGTTGCTAAGATCGAGAGGGCAATGATGACAACTACGACAGAACAATTTTCCGTCCACCAACGTAAAATCTAATAGATCCTTACAGTAACATTTTTTAGTCTGTGTTTTTTGCTTGTTGTGATATATAATTTGTTAAGCTACCTGTTATCGTTATTTATGTTATTTTTTATTATTTATTTATTTATTTTATTATTATTATTAGTTATTTATGTGAGCGGAGTGACAGTCGTTTGCATCTCATTCGACTATATAGAATATGATAGTTTTTGATAGCGTAGTCTACTTATTGGTCGGTTTTTTGTACGGTCATCTAATTTGCTATTAATGCCATTACTCCGTCGTCTTTGGTAAAAAAAAAAACTTACCTTTTTGCTGTTAGATTTTGCTCTATTTGGTGAGATAGAGAACCTCCCGACGCCATCTCAAACTTTTATTAGAAATAAAAGACAAATAACATTAGCAATCAGATCGATGTGTACTTATGATGGTGATGAAATTATTGTCATAGGTACCGTTAATTAAAACCATGTTCAGACTGGCAGGTGGTGTTTATATGTTGTTGATTTTTACCGAAACGCTACGCAGCCATAATGCGTGATACTGTTGGCGGCTGAAACCATTTTAGCCATAGCCGCGCCTGGACGGCAGCAGACCAATATATGCTTAAACGACTGTACAGCAATAAGATGCAATTTAATTAACCGAAGTGTCCGTACCATCATGCCAGCCACTGTTTGGCTTGAGAAGGATTCTTCAGCAGAACGAAAACAGTATTTATCTGATGATTCTATTGACGAAATTTCTAACGGCGTTTCTTACTCGTTGCTTGTTAGAGAATGTAACATGGTTTTTTTTCTTTGAGCTAGAATCTATATGCCATGCAATGTGAGTCCAGATGGACCGAAATACAAATACATTCTTTTCTGCGTGCTTTTTCCTTTTGTTTTTATCAAATGCTAATAGAACTACTAGTGTATGCTATTAGTTTTATTCCATATTGTTGTATGTAGAGATGATCCTTTGTATAATATTTAATTAATAAAAGGCAGTTACGAGGAACACTCTTCACGTACTCTTTCAATAAACCCAACCTTGAATTTCGATAAAGCAACTTCACGGTACGGCGTTCAACAAAAAGGATTCTTTGAGCCTTCGATACAACGTTTTAGTTTTAAATCAATGCTAGTGTACTATAGTATAGCAGTTAATCGCACTCTACTAATTTCTCCCTTTGCGAGATCCGCCCATTAAAAGCCGCATCGCTCCGGCGAATCTCTTATTATCTCAATCCAAGCTTTGTTCTATTATCATATCATTTATAAGAATCCAGTCACTGTTTTTTGTGTTATTGTACCGTCCGTATCATTGACATGCCTGTTTCTATGACACGATTCGTGTCGCATGCATCTTCTACCACAAGCTGTACTGGTTTGCCGCCATAACCACTAGAGGGAAATCGTGTTACCGGAGTTTGTCGCTCACGTTAGCGTGCCTGTCATACAGTTGCGATTATGATGTGCTTGTGCCTTATGATTTCAATTGTAGTCACAACTTGTGGCATAATTGTTGGATGTAGCCTGATTCTTACCAACACATTCGACATTACAAGTAGTTGCAACAGCGGATGTGATTGTGATGATGAACCTAGTAGGGACGACCAAAACTGTGTGCGAGGACGTAGGAAACGAAGAAGGTTAGTTCCAAGTGCCACCATGTGCATAGCGGCTCCGTATGTCAGCTAGCTACATCTCCTACTATAAGTTGCCAACATTTCAGTGATGCGAAGCCTGGCGGCACGGGGGATTTCTTTGGGCGATTTGAGGAGAAAAAGAATCGTCAAAAGGAGCAGCAACGAGGCAGCAAAACCCTTAAAAATTTCATCAAACGTGCCAACACCCTCAAAGGTTAGACACCACAAAAGGCTGATTCTAACAAGACGGCCGTTTTACCAAGCAAATATGACTTTCGGGGTCAATCGACTGAGATTTATTTATTCACTACCAACGATACGCTGCAGCGTGTGTCAGTTTAATTAGGTCACAGGTTTTTTTTTTTTATAAGGATAATGTCTTCTAACACGAATCTACGAATATCAGTATTATTAGCATAGTATAAGTCGGTGCTGAAAAGCGTACGTTCATACGTAAAAAGATAATCCTGATCAATATTGATATGGATTGTCTTACAAGCTTAAGGTCGTTGAATCTATAATTTGACGTGTTCGCACAGTAGAAATAACCAAAAAGGTTAAAAAAAATTTAAAGTTGTGTCCATGGTTCCAGAAAACACAAGTTTTTCACTAGGAAGTTCCTGGAATGGGCCAATTTTGCGTGATAAAAAAGCATCGGACGGCCTGTTGGCTCTACGCGAAGTTCTTCATGGAAGGCTAGCTCTCCGTCAGGAAATATGCGTGGAAATAATTAAATTGCTTAATGGGGCTTTCGAAAGAATGGAGACATTGTTTAAGAAGTAAGCTGAACTGAATTTTTGAGAGTTTTAACTTACATATTTTGTATACGTCGCTTGTGCATGGACAGTGTCTTCTGGGGCATCAAATGCTGCAGACTTTTATCTCTTGGAAATTGCTGTTAAATTTTTAAAGCTTACTATAAAATATGCGATAATGTTTGATGGCTGATGGTATTTAGTCATTTAAAATATGTTGCACTTGCATGTTCGTTGACGTTAATGCTTACCTCCAGAAATGAGTCAATGTCTACCGTCTCGGATATGATCCAGGATGTCTATCAACTCATTTATGATCGAGCGGCAGAAGAAGTTGAAGCTTCAACCGCTCAGGAAGCGGTCGAACTTTGTGAAGACTTCTTTATCTCCCACACATACGAGTAAGTTTTCGGGAAATGCAATGAGGGAAAATTAGATCAAACTTCAATTGGATTATAAATTAGAGAGAAAAATAGCAACAGCAGAACTAAGCGAAAAAAAAAGAATGCTTTTCTTTTAATTTTAGTAACAACAAATAGTCTAGAAAACGAATGGTGTGCAGGAAGCCTAGCTTAAGAGTACCGCAACACATGTCTGAGTCGTCTGTTGCTCATCGCACATGTTACTAGGCCTCTAAATAGTATTGAAGATTGACATTGTAATGAGATTAGTGTTGAGCTGTGGAGTGGAGCAGGGAATGTTGTCAGAACATTGTACCAATACTGCCTAGTTTACTAAAGAAAAGTTCCAGCATTAATAAAATTCACTGTCCAGAATTAAAGTTCCAGCATTAATAAAATTCACTGTCCAGAATTAATGAAACTGATATTTGTTTTTTGGTGCGTATTACTTAGTATTTTATTTAGCGTTTTGTCATCAGAAGAAGAGCGTCGTGATCTCAAGGTCCTTCAACGCATCCGGTCTTTGCATTGGGTACGGGCAAATCATCTAGAACTGGATGTCGACGATATTCATCCCACCGTTAAGGAGTTCATGGACGAAGCCATGAAACAGCTTATATTCATTGATTCGAAGAGGTCTCCTAAGTGCGTGGCAATAAATTTAATTCACCCTTATTTTTGACAGTAAACGTGCATTTCTCTATAAATGTTATAAGAAGAACATGCTCTTCTTATACAGTTATATAGAAACCCTATTTTTGTCAATCTATGCCTTAATTAATAAAAACCAGTTTTTATTAATTATATTGCAGGTCTACTTAATTGTTCACATTAAAAGCTTGGCAATATTAATGTAGATATTTTGTTATATAACAGGGAGAAATTGGCCTGTGTGGTTGATGCAGCAAAGAATATTTTCAAGATGCTTCAAGCCGCTCCAAAAGGTCCAAGCCATGCGGGTGCAGACGATTTTCTTCCAGCGATGATTTACGTGGTTCTGCGGGCAAATCCTCCGAGATTACACACCAATATTAAGCTGGTACGATATCACCCAACACTAAAGGTGACATACGTATCTTAAGCTTTTAGATTCGTTATGGTCCATGCCTATTTTCGAGTGTGAAGTAAACGATGACAAATGTTTTATCTCTGTGGCAGGCGCCAACTGTGAAGACAATCATTTTTAAGGCCAAGATACGTCTATTTTTAATATCAAGCCACCTGTGTTATCTCGTCAGCTAATGGATGGGTGTAATGATAATATTTGAAATATACTATTGACGTAGTACTATTTCTGCTACCTTGCAGGTCACACTATTTAGCGCCCAAAGCCGTCTTCGTAGTGGCGAAAGCGGCTATATGTTCACGAATCTCTGTGGAGCGGTAAATTTCATTGAGACTCTTACAGCCGACAAACTGCAGGTTGGTAAACAGATGATATATAATCTTGCTCCTTTTAATGAGTCCTTTATAGACTAGTGGTTAGTGCGCAATATCGTATATTCCGACCACTGGCAGACAGCATGGCGCTATAACCATTTCACTTCTAAACGAATTAATTTGAAGCGTAGCTTCGAATCGATTTATTTATCGTACGTTTTATCCCTGACAACTGCAGATGCCACAAAAAGAATTCGAAGCCTACATTCAGGGAAAGGCGATGCCAATGGAGGATTCAATGACCGCAGGTGCGCGTTTAATGTATCATAATATGGCCGCGCTCAAGGAGCTACACCTGCGGCAGGATCGGCTAGCAGACGCATCAGAACAGCTCAAGATGACCCTAGATTCACTACAGAAAGATATTGGTTGGTATACAGTATAAATATGTTAGGATTGTAACCATTGTTGGGACTCGATGACATATACCACGTGTCCCCTAAGATATCAGCCTAAACTTTTTGTGATGCACACAGCTGAGCAGGTACAACGCGCTCTTGCTGAATCGGAGGACGCTACGAAACCTCACGAATATCGGGTCTCCAAAAGCATACCAACTCGTTGTTTGCCGACGTTCATGCGTGATAAGGTTTGTTTTTATTTTTGTTAACTTTGCCGAACAACGCGCAGCTGATTACGATACTCCTGAAACAAGTATTCTCAAAACATCCCGAAAAAAGCTATTGAGAAAGACATAGGAGTGTATAGGGTTGTATATAGAAACGATTAATTTCCTGTCATCATTTGTCAGTGATAGAATTATCCTCTTAATTGATTTAGGTGCTGCTCATAGAACCGCCTGCATCGCCACCGCAGCCAGCTGATCTTCCCCCTCCGTTGCAGCCGGAACTTTTACATCAGATCAGTAACGCAGAAGATAATATTATCGATAGTAACGAAAATGCCGCCGACAATCATAGCAATGTCGATAATATCAATAACAACAGCCATAGTACTAGTAGCCGTCTAGCGAATACTGCGACGTCGACGAGTACCGATGAAGAGTTGGTTACCGCCGGCGATCAAACAATAGCTGCCACACCGGATTCTGATCTGTCTGCTGATGAGGTTGGTACTCGGAAAAAAGAGCACATTATGCATACGAATCTGTACATCAACAGTAATATTATCGTTATATGAAATGTCTATTTTGTACATATTTGAGCTTCTCGATTCGTTGTGACGGTATAAAAAGATTGAAAAGTTTCACCTGAAATGGGCTAAATGTTTATTACATGCTTCCTGACCACATCTACTCGCAGGTTCTTCAGGTAGAACTAACTTGTAGCAACGGTGAATCTCCTGAGGGGCAAGACGTACCACAAAGGGAAAGCGCTTCTGATCCAGCTGAAAGTGAACCAGCATAATAGGGCACAGGCTTCACATTCTAATAGAAGAGAGATAAGAATAAATACACCACAGCGAACTCTACTCAGGACGAGGGTTCCTTTGGGAAGCACTCCTTGCAAAAGTTTAAATGTTGAACAGACAGTAGTTATGGGATTATTATTTAACCCTGCAATTGACAGTGAGCTTTTGTGCGAATTGTTGCAAAAAAATACTTGCGATTACTTGTAATTAATTCCATTTAGGCTTTACAAAAAACCATCTTTTAACTTGCAAAAATGTGTTCAGTGAAATTGCGGATGTTCGAATGTATGAACATTTTATTTTTGGAGACGTTTTGCGTTTGTCGCTTGGACACATGAAATAGAATAACTTTCAAAGCTTTATCGTTACTAGTGACAGAAAATCTCAGAGAGAGAGAGAGAGAGAGGGGGGAAGGAAGGGGGAGGGGGGAGGGAAAGAGAGAGAGGAAAGGGACATATGTGAGTAGTGTTAACAAATGGTCTGCTACCGACATCTTTGTAACACTGATACGTAAATGTATAAAGTCAACGAGGCACATTAGATCGTGCGATTTTTAAGTTAACTCATGACGAGATTGATAGTAATAATAACGAACCTAAAATTGACACGGACAGAATGGTATTATGCAAGACAAAAAAAAAATGACCCAAAGTAACCGACGCTCGGTGCAATCTGTAGAACAGTCTCGATATGTGGGATGGGATCTGTTAAGTAATGTTATTTTTCAAGCTCTACGAATATGCTACAAAGCGACAATTAGTTTTGTGTTGATTAGAAGTAACAGCTTTACTTATTCACATTGATACTTAGAACTCCGGAGGATCTTCAGTAAGCTTTATTGAAGGTGTCCATCTGAGGCTACTCGATAAATGTTGGTGAGCATTCTACTGTGTAACGTAGATGATAGTCTGTTTTTTTCCGCCGTATTAAACTGCTTGTACAATAATATCGCTTCAAATAAATCGCCTTAGTAGACTTCAATTGGTAGAACTAAATGAATATGGCAATGAATATGGGCGGTGCCAACTTTAGACAACGCTATAGCGTTTACTTCGGCTGAGCGGATTAATGTACAGATGCGTGTGGGATAAGATCGATACAAAATTAGCACCATGTATCGAATATTATGGCAAACGATTTGAGAGACCGATCGGATTACGCTTAGATGTGTTCTGTATCTACGACCATAGATTTTGTAAATATAGTGCTGTTATGACCTGGAATATGCTAGTTTAAATTTTACTATCTATCGGATGCTTTGCTTCATTAAGTTCAGTATTTTTCAACAAGAAATCCAACAAATTGGGTTTTGTCAAGGTGTCCAATCATGTAATCATACGAGACGTGTCGTCGCTTACACAAAACGTTCATTTCTCTACTCACTCGTATGCACGTATAATGTATGAAACAAACCAATAAATGTTAAAATTAGTTGTATGTCTCCTCCCTTTAGTTAGTCCTGTAGTACGTAGGGCAGAGACGTGAGTAGAAATTTGGCAGTATTTGTACTTGTATTGACGCTTACACGCAGTCTCACACTTATGCTCAATTTGATTAGCACAGTATATTTCGGAAATATATTAAAAATATAAAATACCAAATAATTATGATTATAAAAGCACGAATCTTTTAGGGAGTTCCAAATTCAAAAAGTAAATTCGCCGAACGAACAAACAAACATCTGTCTGACCAACTTATACTCCTTTTAGTTTGCAAAATAGTTAAAGTAAACTTTACAACGTTCTACACACTCAAAAATATTTTAGAGATTTTATATAATCGATCTTCGACGTGATATTTTGCCTAGTTTCGGATCGCTCAACGCGCAATCGTACCTTCACCACACCTAGAAAAAAAGTTGTGTCACGAGACTATCATAGAAATGATGAAAGTTTTTGACGATTCTGTTACAGAACATCGAAATATTATGCTTTTGGATACAACAAAAGGATCATCAATGCTGATTACATCTTAGTTATCCAAATCCGTCAATTAATTAATTAGAGATTAATTAGAAGAAAACAGAGGTTTTCTTCTAAAATGAAAGGCGTCATCATAGTTCAATACGGGAGCTATTGTTTATATTGAACCACCATCTTATCGTTAGTAGGACACCGTACAATGGACTGTGAGAGGTGTCGACGAGTCACAGTCCCTGAAGTTCCGTTGAGTCAAAATCATCTACATCTATTTTGATTGACCAACGCTTCAAAGTGGTCGAAAAAAATAGTAGAAAAAGCTTTTCATCACCAGTTCTTGTGTGACTGTCAGCAATGTCGTTCGTATAGAACTCCTTTACCTGGTTAAGTTGTTTCTTATTCGGAGGTCCGCTAGAAGATGAAAACTTAAACAGTTTAAGTAGTTGTAACTTTTTGCTAAAACCGAAGAAGCACTAGAACTGACGTTCGGCTGGACCTTTAGCGTAGCTTTTGGCCCCATGAATATATTGCTAGTTACTCAAAAGTACCGATCTACGGTCGGCTAACACTTAGCTCACTTTGATATTCTGTGATAGTTCAAGAGAAATGAACAATTCACTTTACAGGTAAATAATGCGTCTATTTTTAGTTTTGTGCTAGACTCGAACGATCCTGATATTCTAATAATACATTAATATAGGCAAAAGACATTGTCGTAAACTAGGGGAATTGTTTATAGCGTTTCATAGGTCTGTGGAGATGTTTAATGATGGAAATGGACGTAAAACCCAGGATGATTTAAGTTCCTGAGATGAAGGAATGAAGAACTTGAAAGATATTTGAACATCAATGCGAAATCGAGTGTGGCTTTTTCTTTTTCGGCGCAATCGATCGATCGATCGATCACCCTAGTGGTAAGACATCTTCGAAAAAACAGATAATTATTCTGCCTGTATGCATTTAGTAATGAAGTTCGCTTAATTCAAAGCCGAACAAATCTCATTTTTTTATAAATGCACTTTTCACATGCAGCTTAAAAGCCCCAGTAGACAAAATCAATTCTACATGTAAATTGTATGTCATGTATGAACACTCCGCTATTTCACAAGCTATTTATCGGCCCTTGTGCTTCAAAAACGCGTCTTGTACTTTCAAATGCGGCTGCACTATATGGATAATAAACCAAAAAATATCTCGGTTAAAATTAATGTAGCAATGATTTTTTTAGCTAATCTTTCATCAGTAAACCTATGCGTGTGCAATGAGATTTAGATATGGTTAGCATCTCTCCCTCTATCCAACACTTCGAAAGGATTTAATTAGCCTTCGCGATAACCGAAGCAGAACGAGTAGATCGTACAAATACGTTTGTCGAGCGAGCTAGTGTGCAATTCAATATGTACATCTTTACACCTCCTGATAGACTTCCAAAAAACATTTAGCAATGTGACTAGGAACGGATTATATGATCGTGTACTATATTAAAATTTTTTGACTGCTCCTTCTAATAACAAAGCTCCCGCTGAAGGCTGGTAACGTTGTGCTGTGAACAACAGAATCCGATTGGGTTTATTAGAGAGCTAAAGGAAAATGAGCAAAACACAAAAAGAACAACTTAGCTAGACTTTTAGGCTATAAAAGTATGCCGTATATCAAATGAATTATGGAGATCAGCGAGAAAATGTATATAAGGAAAAAGATAGAGTAATTCAAAAGAGATATATTGAATCAAAGCCAAGTGTAAACATGGCCAGAATGCCCATTTCGAAAACAGACGCTACAAAACAATTGTAGGCCTTCCGTTCATCCATCATCGACCTCTGTGCGATTCTACAGAAAACTAAGTAGGAATACATATGTAGATATATTTGTGCATTCTATTCACATTTATACTGCGCGAGCAATAAGATGACGTTTCGTTGACGATATCATCGAGTCACTACAATTAAATTAAGCGAAATTTAACATCGTTGCCGTTGATGATCTCTCGTTGTCGTTTTTCTTTCGTTGCTAGTTATCGGTTCTTGTCCTTCTCCGTTAAGTAATGCGTTTTTGTTTCCACTTGACCCTCTCCTTACAAGTCTGCTGTGACACCTCAAGGATTTTTGACTCAGTGACGATATCTCATTCTAGACTGTCGTACGGAGCTGGCCTTCTTCTGAGCGAGTGAGTTCATTTCGTCTAAAACAGCTACGCTCGACGAGGCTTGGATTGCAATGTGAGTCTTCCACGAACGCATCTTGTAGTAAGATGCATCCCTGTAAATATGATTTAGCCATTGTAACAGATGACGAATGCATCCGAAAACCGTCCATTTTGAAATCGGCTGATGTTGTAAAATCTGTGTTTCTGTGCTAGTAGTAGATCCACGTAAATTATTGTATATAGGGTAAAATAAGTCCGCTCCAATCTGTACTAGCCATCATCGCCTAATTGTAATTACGCCACAAAGTTCCTACTTAAAGATACCTAGTTCTTACTTGATACTTCATATGAACTGTTTTTTTTTCATTGACATACGCAACAATTCAATCATGTACGGTCTAATCTAAGCCGGTCAATTTAATCATTTGCTTACGCATGACGTACACATATAGGGAATGTATTTTACGAGCGTCTAGGTGAAGAAAATTGCGTTGGTGTGGAGATCTTGCGTCAAATGGGCAACAAATCGCTATTTTCTGTTGTGCCACCATCGTAGTACGCGCAAATACTATAGTAATTGAAGACAATTATCTTCCATGCCTCTGCAGTCCGGGACTTAGCGTGGCCACCTTCATTAGAAATAGCATCCCTGTTCATCAACACCCTTACAGCAGAGTATTTTATTTATGGTTATCGTAAAACTTTTTCTGGGGATTACGTTCTAGTCTTTCCTTTATAGCAGATTCCTAAAGCTCTTTCTACAGTACAGATCTAATACCTGCGCTAATTGTATGCACTGTAATTGATGTAATAAGATGACATGGAAAACATTGTCCGAAAAACGCAGGTAATTGGACTAAGCCGCAGAAGCGCGTAACATCTTTTTCCAGGCACATTTACATTAAAAGAAACGTAACAAATCTTTCTTTGTTCGGACAAATCCGCTATAAATCACTATGCAAATCAAATTTCTTTGCTCAGCACAAATCGCAAAGCAAAACATTGAAAAATAACCTCTTGATTATGTTATTAACGGAAAGCATTTCTATAAAAAGGTCACAAATCTTAATTTTAACAAAAGCAGGTGCTTTTAGGGCATTTTCGTTGTGTATGTGCATCTGTCAATAGCGACGTTTCGTTTCCGCGTACGTACGATGAAGGTTGTTCACTGGTCTCAGGTGTTGATTATTTGCGGGTTACTGTTATGTAGCCTGGCGGAAGAGAGCCTTGTGAAAAGGACCCAGAGGTGTCTGCAATGCATTTGTGAGGTATGTGATTGTTAGGTAGAACGTGATGTCTATAGTTTATAGAGCGATTGTATCATACGGACCCAACTGCCAAGGTATTCATCATTCGATACGGTGGGACATTTGTTCACCAACCTCGTGCCGTTTGATATCAAGTATTACCTTAAATGCAATATTGCTTTATATTTCCGTTCGCATCCTTTGGCCCAAAACAATATCAGAATCAATTGACGAACTAAAAAAAGATGTGATTAAATTGTTCTAAATAGAGTCGAGCTAGCAAAGCTATATTCTGGATCAACAGGCGAGATTCACATATTGTTCGAAAAATCAGTAGTATCGATGATTCGCTATAAGCTATTTTAGGGATGGTTCAAGTGAAATTCTCGTCGCACGGTAGGGCTCTATTTTAGTTTACTGTTAAGATCAATATAATAACGCATCCGTTCACAGTAAGACGCTACTTGTACGTCTAGAAATTTATTAATATTTCGGTTGCAAATTTTAGAATATTTTACTTAGCCTTTACAATGCAATGGATTCGGCCCTGACATCTAGTCACAGCCGTAAGGTTCATAGTTGATATGCGATTTATATATTACCCAACCTTTGATTTTAGGGAGCCTCAAGGTGCAACGAAACCTCGTTATGCACAGACTATGGAGGCACAGGGCAAGTGTGCGGTCCTTTCCAGATAACTATCGAGTACTGGGAGGACGCGGGAATGCCTGGCAAAGGTATACCGATTTTTTATTGATACGCTTGAAAAAAAAACACGTACACGCGTCTTATATCCCATTTGATAGTATGCGTTTCTTTATTTTGAGATGAACAATAATGTTTCAACCTCCTTGAGTAAACTCGCTTCTGTTTTCGTTCAGACTCTAGTAAGCTAATGATGAAGAATTTCCCGCGTCTTACTTGGGGACGGGAGGGGGGGGGGTAGGTCGAGCTATTAAATGGGGGGGGGGAGTAGGTCGAGCTATTAAATATGTTTTAGCTTTAATAGGCGTTGCTAGCCTGGTACGCTTTGACCAGTCGCCCTTGGTCGTTTTACTATCTTTCCTATTTTCCTTTTACGGCGAATTTTTCTTGGGTAGCACCTTACAGTTCTAACCTTATGACACCTTTTTTTTCCTAAAAAGGAAGGATCCTTTTTATAAACAAAGTACGCTTTAACCAAAGCGAGTCTCCTTACATTTTTGAATGTTACAGATTTTGTGACGTGTGTGAACTCTCGAACTTGTTCAGAAGCAGCGGTTATCAACTACATGGAAAGATATGGAAGGGACTGCGATGGCGATGGCAAGGTAGGATTATATAAGGCAGATATAAGAACGCGAGATGCCTAAAGCAAGACGTATATTTGAGGCAACTAAGTAAGGATCTCCTATTATATCCCAATTATTATATTATCCCGATATTATAACAATAACCATTTAAATAGATGCTATTTCCACTGTAAGCTATAGCTTTTCTAATGGCGATCTAATTTTTTCCTAGCTTGTGTTTTTTACGTCTGGATTTGCGCCCTCAGCTGCTTAAAACATTGCTAATTAAGTATAATAATAATAAAGAGATTTAAGTCATCCGAGTCAATTATCGTACAGCAAATCTTTGCGGTACATATTAATACTGTACTGCATTGAAAATTCCTTTCGGTAAATACTGGCAGACAGCTGATAACAGAACGACGAGCTCGTTCACATACGATCGTTTAGTCATAAATGAAAATTTCTAATTCTGTAAAGGGGCGATTTCTAGAGGGTGCAAAAAATGATGCAGTGCTGAGTCATGTAGAATACTAACTATCTGCTTATAGCAAATCTAAATATACTGTTACGGTTTCGTTTCTGATCTGGATGTATTATCTAGGTGACGTGTGGCGACTATGCACGCATTCACACCGCAGGAGTTAGCGGCTGTGATAAGCCATGGATTGAGCTTACTCCTTTTTGGATTGCTTTCCAGGACTGCGATAAGGAACTGGAAACTAGAGCAATGCTCCGTAGCCCATGACCTACCCTCAATGCACAGTATTCCTAGAAATTTCATTTTTACAGCATAGAAACCCAGCTTCGAGTCTCTGCCAGCGCTCTCTTTAATCACTAATAATTACTATAACAATAAAAGCCGTTTATTGCGATATTGTTCAATAGTCATTGCAACTCTAAAGCATTGAGGCGAATTTCTTTATTAGTAAACGTAAGCGATGCTGGTAAGGGCCACTTTCTGGTTCAGAATGAGTAACAAAGTTAATACAGGGCAAACGTTTCAGACATGTTACACGTACTGATTACTTTTTCACTGACAACGTAAACAATTTTCCTGTGTCATTTAGGTCAAACGTTTTTTCACTCTAACATGTTACATGCACATTTCTACTCAGATATATATATCGGTGGTGTTGTTGCCGGTGGCTTTCATTTCCTCAGCATAGTGTATATTCTATACTGGTAGGCGTTCGATAGCGCTATAATGAAAGCGTTCGATTTTGTCGCGTTTAAATCACAGCTGAGATGCGATGTTTGTGGTCGCCCGAGTGTCGTTCGGAGTGAACGACGCTGACAAGAAAGAAGTCAACGAGTTAGCGATTTCTTATTCAGCGGAATTGTACTCACTTGACATACGGCTGCTTCGCCTTTCGTGGGAGTGACAAGTACCCGTGAGTCACCATCGGTGTCGTGACCTGAAGAGTGTCGGCAGTTTTTCAAAAAGTGTGTGAAGGAACAACTTAACGTCCGATTAAATAATTTCAACTGAAACTTGTCCAAAAATAGAATTGGTGTGAGATCGCAAGCTTAATTCGCTTTTTCGGCGAACGGCGAAGCCCCGAAGAAGTGCATAATCTACAGATTAGATTTTTCCAATTAAAATAACTCGAGTATATTGTTTGAACTAAAGAAAATATACTTGAATCAATCAACAAGCTCTTACAAAAAAGTGTCCCATGAAACTCTGGTGACAATCAGGCCTACATTGCTAAATTCAAGTACATCTCAAGTAAGCTTACGCAACTGGGTATTAAGCCAGATATAAACGTTGTACGCAGCTCTGGTTGGGAAGTAAACAAAATATGTATTTGATCCTGATTCGTTTTCCACATCCCATATCGCACGTGTATCTTCAATGATGTGGCCGCTATGCAATCCAAAAGCTCTTCGTTCTTTACCCTTATTTTCGCTCAACACAAATGAACGTCGTGGAATTTCCATTCCGCCCTTGTTTTACGAAAAAAACATGGGGTTCCTTGATCTAGTCTACCGATTGTAATCTCCTATGATTGACACTTGAAGTTTCGCTGGTTGGAGATCACCGAGTACGCTCTACTGCGATGATATTTACCGAGGAAGCATCTAAATTCGGCGGTAAAATGAAATTTTGCTCAGCAAGGGTCTTATTGGATTCGTGAGCATAGATCTGGCAAGAGATCAGCTGTTTTGATTATATTTGTTCATAATAGATGTTGACGAAACTGTTGTAGCACTTCTCAGGTCTGTGTATTTTATTTCCTAAAAACCCTTTTCAGTATTCTAACATCTTTTATGGAAGAATCTGTTATAATCAGTAGTTTCGGACTTAGGTAGAGATGAAATACTCCCAATGAGTTCAACATAACTAGTGTTTAAAATGTATTATTAGCCAAAATACCGCCAGACCGAATTTTAGAGTCAGAACAAAACGTAATTCAAGCGGATACTTGATAAAATGCGCATCAGATACAGGTAATTGGGTGAAGAAATTAGTTCGAAGGTGTTCTGTGTCACGTATCACACATTATATGGCTGTGGCGGGAGCGTAGGAAGCTTTGCTACAATCCCCGAGCTATTACACGTTGCAAACCGGAGAGATATTTCCTATTTTTGTGTCCCTCAAAGTATTTTTTTAATTCACACGGCATGAGTACTGTTAAAAAACCTAATTATTGTATTTAATATCGATTTTCCTTTATGCCACAAACAATAACTCAAAACAAATTGAACGTTTGTGAGCAAGTTAAAAGGCTTTACGTCCGATGTGGTAGCTACCAAATCTGCACACCGCTTAGACGTTATCATTAAATTTGGTGATAATTGTCAATAAGATGCGACAAATACGTAGGTAATTGTCACATTGGCTCATTTTAATGTAAATCTTACGCATATTGTGGCAATTTTAGGTACTACCGCACCGGACATTGTCCACATGGTAGTTGTTGTCAGTTTCTCCATGACAGGACCTCGAAAGCGAAACAGGAGGACTGTAGCAAGGCCGTACAGGATCCGCGGATTTTCAGTCGTGATCAGGCACTCGACATGCTCCCACAGAAACCCAGTATACGTTTATTCTCCTCGAACTCACCAAAGTCGAACTCGTCGAACCTAAGACAATGTAAGCATCGTGATGAGTTGCGCTTGTCACGCCGGAAATGCTATTGCTATAATCGATAAGTCGTTAAACCGTGTACTGGTTTTCGCTTCAAAATTGAGAATTTTGAGTTATAATTACGTTAAAGGCTAAAATGTACGAATGGAGGTAATTGTTCTCCGCCGCAAAGTAAAAGACAGAGTTTTGGACCTTAGTAATTAAGCAGATTTGTTTTACACTGACCTGAACATAACATTAAACGCGTACAATTTAACAAAGACAGTTGATCTCGGTAATGTTTCGGTGCCTACTTTATCTCTGTGATACTTATGTTCCAGTAAAGCCTTTGACGGACGAACACTTCGTAGGGTTTTGTACGTGGCTCATGGTGAGTCTCAGTTACGATCTTATTCGACTCATTATGATTTGCAGATAACCCCGTAAAACGTTTTAGTGCACATGCACTATAGAAAGGAAAAAAGTGTTGCAAGATATTTAAAATGATGGGCCTTCTCAGAGAGTACATCCTAGCTAAATATAAATCAATGACCTTTAGTACAAAAGTGTAGAGCTTTTCCAGATTCGCCATGGTGACACATTTGGCTTCTATGTGGTGTTGCCATATGGTCATAAAAACATATGGGATGTCCTGGAAGTCCAGAAGAACTGTGAATGAGATACAGGAGGAACTTAACCACAAATAGGACCGTGTCCGGGTGAGCATGTAACATTAGTAATTTAATTAGAGCTATTGACATAAAAAGCGCATTTTAGCTTTCTAAGTTACGTAAAAACGATATCATATATTACATTAATCGGGTCGTTAATAAAGTAATTTCAAAAGTTCAGCTTTTTTGGAAACCATTCAACGAACTTTATTTACTGACCTACATCATGTATTTGTGCGTTGGAAACTCTAACACGTAACGTGTGACGTAATCGCTCAGTTTACATTTATCTGCTCCAAAATCAATAATCAAATGTTTTGAAAGAATGCTCTCCTGGGTTTAATACCTCTTGACAAAATATTTTCTACGAGAAAATCTGTTATGTTCAAATCAGGCCGCAGCTATGCCGATAAAAATCCCGCTTGGTTACATATGGTTGTATAATACATTTTATGCACGCATCAAGTGGGCAAATTGATCGTTAAAAAGACGTTTGTGTGTTGCAGGACAAACCTGCTAGGTCACAGTGGTATTCTCGTGCGAAATTTGGTTCGCCGGTTGTGATGACTACCTCCCTGGGTGGCATCGTGGGAAGTGGATGGCAGGCCATCGAGACCCAGACGGTGCTAAGTAAGAGCGCTCTTCATTATTAGACACGAAGCGATTTTGTTAGCATGGCTAAGCACAGTCTGTTATCGAACAACTTTATTGTGAATTCATTTACAAACAAAATTATCATCGTTTACAGGAAGCAAATGGCTGAAATTTTCTTAGTTGATCACGGCAAGACGGTGCAGGTGCCATTCGCAAACGTTTACAAAACGGATAGAGACTCTTGGAATTATCCTTGCCAGGCTATCTATCAACCGTAATTTCGCCGGTGAGTTTTCGTTTGTTTCTGTTCGAATGTATGCTGTATGCGTATTGCTTTAAAACGAACTCGAGCCGAGCAGATCCTCCTAGACATCTCTATCTTTTACGTCTTTTACACGCATATTGCAATGTGCTCAACGAACTTTTTTTTCGTTTCTATTTTTTGATATTTATGAGATCTACAGTAGAACTATGTTTAAAAAAATAATGCAATTTTTTTAGAAGTGTCGTTATTTTTTGTGAAATTCAGCACGGCTAGTTCGGCAGTTTGCTAGGGTGGCTCACAGAATCAAAGTCAAGGAATGAACCGTTTTCAATCGATGCGGAACGTTTAGTACTTTAACAATCATTTTTTAACTTTAATTTTTATTTCACCTTGCTTGTTACCTTCTCGTAGTGTCTAATAAGCGAAGTGGCGAGTTTCGTCGGTATGAAGAATGGCGTTTGTGCAACAGTCCTTGGTGGTTCGTGTGGAGTTGGTTGATGCGTGTTAGCTTCTACTTTCGACATTTTTGTTTTGTTGTGGGTTAACTTTCAGATACACAGCCAACAGCTAGCACTACACCCGAGACCATTTTAGCTCGGCTTGGAGGGCAACTCATGGTCCTGCAGGTGCGCAGTGCGACGACATCAGAAGATACAAAAGAAGAACTATTTATTGGGCGCCTGTACCAGCCGGCTCAGGAGTTTCATGTTAACAAACAACTTTTAAGATGTAATAACGAAAGACCCACCAATCAGTACTAATATTATTTCCAACAACATAAACATTTATTTTTGTATATGGCAGAGAGGAATTGGAATGAATCATGTTAGAACACGTATCTGTTGCGTCTACTCTTTACAGGCTAGTTATACGGGTAGAAAAATTACTACTAGTAGCCTTCCATCTACCACAGGCAATTTTAGACTACGTAACAGCCAGCCGATCCCATCGTCTTACTTGGCTTTAATACTTTTAGCATTTATATTATTTTTCGTTTAATCAATTAGTTAACGAATGGCACAATACTGTAATAATCATAAGGTTACTCAAAGGATTGCTGATTGCGCCTGTCGACCGCCTAACCAGCGTGTAAAACTAGGATAATTACGTGAAAGTAAAGAGCGTCAAGCGCCGTTGTCGAGCTGAACTAACTTACTTTTGTAAAATTGTTCTAATTAGGGACGCTATGTTTACATAAATGCTCAAATGTTTTATTTATACATGCATTATTCTATATATACTTGCGGTAATTTTTAACAGATATTTTAGGTTCTTGCAAGCCTCTTCCTGTACGTTGACAGCAAGATATCAGTTTTTATGAAATAACGAACTCAACAGGGTTCCCTGCTTGTTACCATTTATCCTGGTAGATCACATACGCGACCGGTCTTCCTACGATCCGAGCTCGATCGAGATATCGGCTTGTCTTAACACGAATTTCGATGTGCCTATAATTTCCTACTGCTGCCAGGTGTAGATGATTTACTGATCGATTTGTTGTAGTTTCTTAAAAATAACAAAGGGATTAGATCCAGATCAAGAGACGCCCAGGTTGTGCCCTGACACTTTACAAATGAGGACTTTGGGTGAGTGTTCTCCTATGAGTGCAAAGGTTTCGTATCTATACCGGGATATTACCTACAGATCCCTTTGGGATCCAAAAACATCTGCGTACAATTCCCGCTAAAAGCGATTGACATTTCTACCCAGACTCTCGTTTCGAATTGAGTCAAATATATCTGATCTATAAACTTTATCGAGTGATCAATAATTGTTTTATAAAGGAATTATTTCATTGATAACTGAGATCCTACTTCTCGCGAGCACGTTTGAACAAAAACAAGACAGGCATTATTTCGATTACATTATAGATGCCCACAAGTACTGCCGCCATATTTCTTATGATAAAAATGAAAGCGCCGCTGTTGTTCGAAGTGCTCTATATACAGTGTTTTTAACCTGTTCTGTAAAAGCTGAAAGGCTGAGACACTTTTGGCCGCCAGTGGATGGAAAATTTTGCAGTTTGAAAGAGTGCGCGCTTCTACTATATAGCATTGAACTATTAATGTTCGTGACTAGCCAAACTAGAAAGTCTCAATATACTTTATTGTAGTAATATATACATAGTGTATATTCTATATATAAAATTAGAACCTTGCCAGCAGTGGTCGTTTCTAGCAGAATGGGGCTAGATACAGAACATCCACTACACTCTGTTCCGGTGACCTGATTTAGTGGCGTATCAATAAAATTCAATGTACTTCATATGTGGTGTTGTTGCACCTATCATATATAGACTTGAAGGTGACTCTATAGAAATGCGTCTGAGAAATGAATTATTTTAGCTGACATAGGGAAGCTTTTAAAAAATGCTACCTCATCTATAAAGCTTCGCTTCCTCTTAAGCAGCTTCCTATATTGATATAGCTAAAATAAAAGAAGCATGTTTTATTTTATTAGATATTGTCTATTCTTCTAGTATTATATATAAAAATCTGTCCCGCGCAATTGCCACGCGCTTCTCAATGTAGAAAGAGGTACATCGCTCGGGCTATCGCGCTATACGCTAGTCAAGATCTTGGTTATTTATGTATGAAAATTAGTAAGCGAGGAATACGTATTTATCGCGCAAAAGCTAGTTCGTCCTTTGTCTTTCGGTTAGATGACCGGTTGTTTAACAGATTCTTTATGTTCGTACATCAATCGCAATACGGGATGCATTCGTGGTCGGAGGTGTCAATCGAATATGCGATGTCCAAAATGGAAAATTTTTGGTCTGGGCCACGAAGTTCAGGAAGCTGATTGCGGTGCTGCAAAAGTCACGAGTTCCGACCTTAGTCCTGGTGGCCTACGTGGCTCTATTTGCTGTACAATATGTGCTGGTTCGTGGTTCACAAACGAAGTCAGGAAGCTATTTATACAACGTTATGATCGTTGTTGGATACACCGAGACGGTGAAACTGGCTATAGCGTGCGCTTTTCTTTTTAAGGTTTGCTATTCGAGTGTTTAGAACCTAGTTCAATTCGAGATCGTTGGGATATGAGTAACTATATGCCACAACATGTTGGTTTAGCCATAGTGCAGTTGACAGTGGAAACTTATACAGGAATGTTGGCTTAAGGAATCTGTGGCGTGTAGGTACTCAAGCTAATTGCGAATTTTCACAGAATTATCATGTTTTCTTGTTTTTTTTTTAACTATTAAGCTAAAATTTAATAAATACAAGTAAAAAAAAACTTTAAAAACTTTTAAAAAAAAGTAAAAATTCAACTGAAAGCGATTGTACCAGCAGCGAGCTGTTTTGAATCTAACAGTTGGCAGGGTAATCAGCAGCTTATTCCCTAGTGAAGTTTTTCATATAAAAAAAAATGTCCGACACCTCCGAAAAGAAGGCGTTCGGAAATGATTACCATACGTTTTGAGAAAGGTTTAACCTTCTCAACCGTAGTACGAAACAGTGAACGAGAAGGTCTCGAGTAAGCTCAAAATTCATTATTACAGGAGTACCATTTACGGGAGCTATGTGTTCTCTCTCGAAAATACTGGTTCGTACCTTTACTTTACGTCCTTCCATCAGGTCTGTACTGCATCAGCAATAATTTGGTTTTCTATAACCTGCAAGCGTTCGACCCAACAACGTATAATACCCTACTTCAGTTTCGCATTGTTCTCACGGGTATAGTATTTCAAGTAAGTAAAACTAATTATAGCTTATTATAGCAAGTGGAACCTAACCTAACCGTTAATGCTCAACGGCAAAATACATGGCATCATCGTATCTATTTTCCAAAGCGTCCTCAATTTTTTTTTCCTTTTTGAGCCTGTTGAAAAAAGGTACTCCCTTTAGACATTGCTTCAGACTCTTAGGTAATCCTATGGCATTGCTTAGATTGGGAACGACTACAAATTCAACGCAGGTAGTAACCCTACGTAGTAAACATCTGGTACGATATCTCAACTAATCTTTTAAACGTTTTCGTTCACGATAGAGATAGAGGACGTTGACTTCGTGAAATTTTAAGCTGTGTCTTTGCATCTATACTCGTTGCAGCTAATCTTCAAACGGGTTTTATCCCCCATTCAGTGGTTTTCGCTTCTGTTACTCACAGTTGGGTGCCTCGTTAAACAGCTGGGAACTGCGGGACCTCAACAAAGCGTTATCAGCAGTTTATTGCAACTTATAAGTTGGGACGGCGTTTTGTTGTTGGGTCAAATTCTATGTTCTTGTCTCGCAAGCGTCCTAAATGAGCTATTTTTAAAGGGCGATACGGGACCATTTATGCTGAACAATTTTTGCATGTATTTCACATCTGTCATCGCCAACGCCGTCGCAATCATTGGTCGGAGTCTACTGTACGGTAACGTCGACAAAACGCAATTTACAGAGGTACTTTGTTTTCATTCATCCAGTGGCATAGTTACCAGGCTAACTGATACGACGATTACTTAGCGTGCTATTATGGATGTAGTATGGTGCCTTTGCTTTAAGATCGCCAGAAATTCGTGCCTGCCTGTAGCTCTGTGTGCAGTACCCGAAAAAAGTAAACAAGTTATGTTTTTCGTCTTTTGAATCAATTAAATTTTTATTTTCAGATTCTCTCCGAGCCTCTTGTGTTGGCTATTATTATAAACGGCGCTGCTAGTGGAATGATGATCCCTTTATTTTTGCGCTACTTCAATTCGATCACCCGAGTATTTACGGTTTCGATTGAGCTAACATTGATGGCTTTTAGTTGCTGGGCCGTCTTCGGAACGCCGCTCAATCTTGAGACAGTGGCTACCATCATAATTGTGTTGATCGCTACGTACTTATATGTCAAAAATCCAGTAAGAGATAAAACTCATAATGATACCAGTAAAAACAAAGGCGACGAAGTAACTGATAAAAAGACTAGTTGCAATCCTTCAGGAATAACAATTCCCACCATACATTTGGGCCAGAAGTGCGACGACAAACCACAAATTATTGTCACGAAAATGTAAGTTTCGAAAAGCCATTTTCCAGCATTAAGGGAGGCCATTTTGTTTTATACTATTGAACTAGGTTTAAAATACTTAGCTAGCTTAGTTGATTTTCCTTTATTTTTTTTTTTAATATTTTTTAATAGGGCAGTTGCACAATTTTTAGCCAGTTACCGAATGTTTGGCTTCAATATTGCCGCGATTTTCGATTAATTCAATGGGATAGCTCGCAAATGTCTATACGGAGCCAATGAATTCCCGATCACGGCAAGCAAGGGCCGATCACTTTAAAGTAGGAGGAGTGACCAGTGTTGCATCGTTTTATGCAACAGAATTAAGCTAAAAGTACTGCTCATACAAGGGCATACCTTTCTGGGGCTATATGCTTTCTATTTTTAGTGATACGACATTATACGCGTGAATTATGTCTTTACACTATAATATAATGGTGCATGCCTTTACGATCATTTCTGTTGTTAGAAAGGAGTCTTTAGCAATCGATTGTACGATCTCGGCCTATCATTATGTTTCTATTATTTTTTTTTTTGTAGTTCTCTCATATTCAGGTGTTATGTACCATTGGATGAATTTTTTCTCGTTTTTGTCGGATCATAAAATTGCTTCGGACTCTTAAGGCGGGTATGTAGGGTATCAACGAGATAGTATTCCTAACGTTTTCTTTCGTCTTTAGCCGAGTTGAAACAAATCAGTAGAAGTAAAACGTGTGCGGGGAGGACTCTACTCTCTGAAAGTGGCTCGAGTCCGACGGAAATCATACTCTTAAAGGAAGATAATCGTTAAACAAGCTTTCAGCTATAGAGTCCTCGGCGTACGCAGGACAAACTAATTTTTGCAGCGGAACTCAAAGTGAGGTTTAGTTATCCAAACAAATGATGATGATAATAAATTTGTAGCACAAAAAAATTGTTTCGAATATTTCTTTAAGGATTTTTTTCACATTGGTCTTATTGAAAAACCATGTTAATGTGAGACAGCTTTCTCTGTTACCAAAAGAGAGCAGGTAATTGGAAAGTGGCCTAGATCAAAATATTTGCTCAGAATGAATAACTGAGGAATAATAAGTAGGCTCACCAACTTGTGAGATATTAATAATTTTGCTCCAAACAAACAAACAAAAAACAAGCCCTTAGAACAAAACGCTTAGATTGCGTATAATGCAAAGATTGGTAAAAATCCTTCTGATTTTGCCAGTTGACATTATTCGTTCACCTGAAAGGTGGATTCTGTTAGCGACGTTCTGTTAATAGTTATTTAGTCGAAAGAAACATAATATAATATAATGTTAAAAAAATAATAATTCATAAAGTTTCTCTTCAGACACACACACGCCACCCGTATCTAAGCCGATGGCGGTTGTTTGTTCGTCGCTGGAGCACTAAATGGTGAGGATCGAAGCGGTCTGTAGACGACAACGCTTGCGCTCAGACACGAGAGTAAAATTGCAATCCCCGTTATTGTGACGACAAAACCATCTGCTATTATGTGAAATATCATATTTTTGATATACGACTCAGTGACGTAAAGTTGATCTACTGAGTCGTCGAGGCAAGTTGTAGCGCATCGCATCGCAGTGCAATATGTCCACAAGATGAAAATCTACTTGGGGTACGAGAGGATAGAAAGCAAAAATACAGCGAAGTGTAAGAAGAGAGACGGTTTACCTTATCGAACGCTTAGCTGATCATAAAAGTCGCCTTTATGATCAGTAGCTAATAAGCTTCAAAGATAAAGCTAAGTTCCAAGCTTCACCTGGGACCACTTGCTCTTCGTTTTGGGGAGCTATTCTTTATTAAAGCATCGCTATTTGAAAGCTTTCAATATGGAAACCAGCGATCTGGTCGGAGCTGTCAGCGTAATTTTTGATTCTATTAAAAATATTACAATGTTTGAGGATCTGTTTTTGTAAACAATGAAGCACATCTACGGGGTAAATCACTATAGTGAAAACTGAAACTATAAAGACTGTGGTTGCGCAAAATTGAGGTCACTTTGGCAAACATATCTAAGAGTCCTTAAAGATGGTTTGTTTGCTTTGGAAAAAATGACGTTTAGAAACGATGGTCACATCCAATACAGTCTATGATGCCACACACGAATAAACCTGGCAATTGGTTTTCGTTGGTAGTACTTATATCTTGCACAAACGTGTACGACGGTCAATAAGCTGAAATATTTAATGAGCTCATTTAGGTCTGAAATCAACGAATTCCCTCAACGAATCTACCGGTTCGGAACTTAAAAGTTAACAGGAAGTAGAACGACTTTTCTCTGGTACGAAAATAGTGTCCCGGCACCCAACGGCGTATTTACAATGGCCAGTGGTTGTCATCGGGGAAGAATTGCGCTACCGGAATGACTCCGGTAAAGAATTTCTTGAGTTGCTTGATATGAGAAAATGGAGGACGTAGTGTAAGGATGTACTCGATTGTGAGCCAATGCCAGTCTTACTGGACCATTGAACCGCACATGTGTGGTTTCTATTTGTCATATAATCAGCACCTTTCGCCCTCACTTAGAGCAGAGGATAGTCATTGTACACGAACGTCGCGCCTACGGCGGCGGCCGCGTTGCCCCGCTGAGCATTCATCGACAGGCGTTTCCACATGAACGACCTAACCGTTAGGTCCGCAGTGATTCTTTCAAGATTATCGAGGATACTTTATAAAGGGCAGCAAGGTATCTAATTTCAAGTGTTTTCTTACTTCTGTCTATATTGAACCATTTCAAATATAACATTTAAACGTGAACGTTATTTCGCAAATTACCCTAACTGTATAATATTTTTTTTGATTAAATGAAATCACACCAAATAATATCACTTAAAGAGAACAAAATTAAAGAGAATGCAGACGTATTTTTATTGTCGAACTATTTTGTTTTTGAAAATTGGCATATTCACAAATACTCCGTATTGCACCAGCACTAAGCAATCGTGTTTTTTTTTTTCAAATTTTTATGATATAATCCCTCTCGTTAAAGAGGATTCTTTATAGGTAACCATATTTACAAAGTGTACACATATTTACATTTGCTTTATCGGTAACGAACACGTTTTGTTGCTTGATTGGACGGTGCCTCAATTGAAAATTGACGATATGACAGATGGCCCCTGCAACAGTCATGCACGCGCTAAGGGATTGGTCTACAAAATCTGAGTTCCACTAAATCATTCGTTAAAACTCGACACGCTGTCTTAGTCACCAACACGTTTCGTGATCGTATTCTGTTCAATCAACAGCAGACACTGCTTATCTAACGCACAACCCTTAACTAACTCTTTGTAGTAATTCGTCCTTTGTCTACTGTCCATAACAATTGCTCTACGAATCGTTGCTGTTACTAATACAACACACATGCTAGAAAGCGATACATATATATCAAGGCTATAGCGCGCATCGTACGTCGTCAATTCGAGACAAGGGTCGCATTAATGAGGCTGTTGGGTCCGGATGGTTGATGATGGTGCCTTGAGCGAATATTAACCGGCTGAACCTGAGGAATCTTCGGTCGTAGCTCAAGCAGTTGGTGGGGTACATGGAATACGTGGCCACGGCATTCCACTCGTAAATGGCCCTTGTGCGTAGATGAGCCCAGAACCATAACTGTGTCGCCTTTGAGAATTTTTGCGCCCGATCTGTGCCCATCGTTCGGATTATCGGGATAATCGATTCGCATGACTCGTTCTTGAGGATAGCTTAACTTTGCGTTGCCGGTCACCGTGTACGAGCGACTCGGCGGTATAGGAGGCGGACAGTCACTGTCAAGACCATACATTGCGCATGTTTGCAGAACGACACGTGGATCGCAACGCTGGTCGCCTGTTTCTGGAGGAGGGGTTCCAGCTATTGGCTGTGGTCGAGGTCGTCCACCACTCAACTTCGATACTGTGCCCGTCTTAGTCAAAGTGGCAGTTCGTGCTGACGTGATGAGTTGCTGCGGCTGATGGGATGGTAACTGAGTGAAACAGCTTCGCATAGACATATCCAAATTCACGTTATTTCGTCCAGTCACGCTCAGGTTTGAGGGGTGGCAACCTGCAATGGATTGATTCAGGCTGCGCGAGATGGTCGTCTGAGATGTGTTAAGATAACGGGATGCTTGGCTTACAGCTCCGAATCGCGCTGTTGTATTGGGATTTGGTTGACGTCGTAGTGAGCCCGTCCAGCTATGGTGGCCACTGACAGCATCAAACGCCGACGTACAACCTCCGTTTACCATCGACTTGGAGCACTCCGTCGATCCGCGAGCCTTTGGTATTGGTTTGGTTCGATTTTGCATGATCGTCTGTTGTTGGTGCTGCTGATGTCTTTTACGCTCCTTTTTGTCATGAACATATGACCGATAAGCTGTTTGTATCAGGAGAGCAGCCGAATAACGTCGTTGATCCCGGAATCTTTCTAACAGCTGGCGGGCATGCTCACTAAGGAAGATGTGCTTTTTGCCTCGAGTCCAACTTACTACGGCGTTCGAGAGCTTTACGTTTTGGAGTGCCGCGGTAAAATGCTCTAGAATTTCTTGGCTATCGAGAAAGATCGTTTCCTCTTTCCGCTTCAGTAATTTGAATGGCGCTAGTAGATAGTAACGATTGTTGAACTCCCGGAATCGCATACGATGTGCATAGCCACATGCCATAAGATTAACGGTCTCAAGAACCTGTAGAACTCGTAACTGTTTCATGACGCATGTTCGTTCCGTCTGTCTAGGCTGTCCGTGGTCGTTGCTCTTAATACAGCGAATGAAATGCGGTTTCGCTGAAATCAGTTTTCTCCAAAGCTTGTCAACCCTCGTGAGGAAATCTTGTGTTATGGTCGAGATCGGCTCAGCACGATTTTCATCAAAGTTTGTCCACGCCGACGGTGAAGGTGAGCAAATTCGAAACTTAGCTCCACTAGCCATATTGTTATGGGAATAGAGAATCTTCATCTCGGCACCGAATAGATTTGAGACAAATGGGAACGTACACGAGTTTTTGTGGAAAAGACAGAGCAAATCGTCAACGATCTCGTCCCGATTGCAATCCAAAAACTCGGCAGCGTCGTACGTTACATTTCCGACGTAATGACGAACAACAAACTTCGTCGTAGACATGGCTTCGTGTGGCGTCGATGGCCGGAAGAAGATCGGATTGTTTTTGTGTCTTGCCGTAAGGTTTTCAACGAAGCTGTCTGGGCTTCCATGAACTGAGCATTCGACGTTGCACATACTCATTATGCCCGTTCGCTGTGAGTTCGCCAGTAGAAAAAGAAGAAAAACTAAATCATTTTGCATATTGCAGCATGAACAATTGAAGAGTGTAAATACGATAAAACATGGGGTAGACAGTCATGGTGACGATGTTATAATAATGTAAACTATTTTGGGCAGTGTGAAGCTTTTCAAGAGTTGGAAAAATTTACGCAGCTCCGCAAAGAGACTAAAGTATTGTATCTTAAAGCAACAACGACTAGGTTCTACTTCAAGTCAGTCTGTTAGTATAATTAACCAATTCCTCTACCTTCATTAAGGCTATCGGCCACTTACCAAATGCGAAATGAGATCGATGCAAGGCATGTTATTAGCATACTCCATATCGAAGTCACAGTTCACGCCTTCTTCCGTGCAAGCATCCAGTGAACTTTTAAAAACGTGAAGGTTGTAGAAATTTTGCATTGTTTCAGCGCACAAATTGATACATAGCTGTTCTAGTCGATTCTCCGTTGAGTTGTTCTCAAACCCAAACATATCAAAGATCCCGATGAAGCCGTCGTTTGCTTGCTTCACAGCTGAATTCAGAACGCTCATCGACTTGTGACTTTTGGAGCCAGTCGAATTGAGTGTCGAACTCTGGTGGAGTGAGCCATGTTGAACGTTACTGACGTCCAAATGCTGCTGATGCACCGACTCGTTGCTATCTGAGCTGAGGGTACCAGACGTCGAACCGGCACCTTTCAGGCTGTTCGCTTTTCGAAGAACCATTTCTACCGTTCGGCAGTAAAGAGCCTTCGCGAGGGCATCTCGATTACTCACAGCCGTTGCTAGGTCGCAGGCAGTTAGGGTTGCTTTCCCCCGAAGTATCGTGGTCCGTCTCGTAAGTGCGGAATGAAGTGCGGGGGATGAAGTGCCCAATAACAATGCAACTGACTTAATGATGTTACCATCTTCGACATCTACCTGATCCACACTGTCGTGTTTGTCGACGAATTGGATATTGCCAAGAAGAAGCACAGCTGCTAGGACCCTGAGGACATCCATTGGCTGAAAGCCAAGCAACGCCAGGCTGGACCGCCAGTTTCGGAAACGCTCAGCATCGAGCTGAGTGTCGCACTGGGTGTCCGCTCGATTCAAGTAGTTCAGTGTTGTCACCGAATGGTTTTTAAGGTGTAATTTCTCTGTAATTATCAAACGGTAGTTAATTAAGTTGCTCAGGATGTGCTAATTTCTCATATTCCTTGATAGTACTTAATAGCGATACTTGATAATTATACATTCATTTTGCTGGTTCCGTACGTCACACAGGTCTGCCTTGAATTTCGCACAACCCGTGACAGACACATAGGCCGTTTCCTTTTTTCTCGATTGCTCAACGAAAAACGTTCAGAGGAATCTTTACAAATAGATCCCTTTGAACACCGACACTACAAAGTATCAGTGTTATACTAACCCTTGTCTTCGGGTGACAAGCCTGCAAGCAGCTGATAGAAGATGTGATAGTTCTTTTCATTGAGGGACTGACGAACCACGCGGCTCTGGTCGAGCATAAAACCGCGGATCTTTGTTCGGTATAATACGCCATCTGTCGCCTGAACTTCAATAAAGTAGCCCTGAAACGCAGGACGGAATTAGTCAGTGGCTCCCTCAGTAGTAGACCGATTCAATCTTAAACCTACCCAAATGATTAATAAGCTTTTGAATGCATCTGCCGTAAACTTAGTACTTTAGTGGAGGTGTATTTAAGGAATGTATGAGGCTTTTTTCGTGTACGGTCCTCCTGACTCCACATTAGTCCCTATATACCTATAGAAAGTAATGTTCCCTTTTATAAACACAAATAACTAAGGCTCTTTTATAAAATGGATCACTTACGATTCGGCTAGATTGACTGTTCGATGTGGTCTTCGCTGTTCCCAAAGAGCGCAGCACGGTGAAGGCCGCCGCGAGATGCTTAAATGAATCGGTTTCGGGGCCTCCACCCGCGACGTTGAATAACTGACGCAAAAGAACCATTGAAGCAAACGTCTTGCCACTGCCACTCTCACCACTGCCACAATTAGTAACATATGATAAAACAAAAACAAAAAAAAAAACAAATCAAAACAATGTTACCAATATACCGACGACATGATCATATTCATCGATTGAACAGAAAACACCTATAAGACTATTTGAAATTGTTCCACTTTCGGTTAAAGTTTTGTGTCACTATGTACCTGAGAAAAATTGTTTGCGAGCATCCGGTCTCACGTTGCTGTCGTACTGCCCTCTTAACGACCTTGAGCAGTTCTGGACAGTTGGTCCCTCCGACGGAGGTCAGGGTAAGATCGTTTTTTGGTTCATGATATGGATTGACGGCAAGTAGAACGGGGCCGATGCTCGTCTGAGTAAACGATCATCGCATGAAATAGTAAAGCAACACATTATTGTTACTATATAAGCAATTTCGTACGGAGATGCAAGCTTTGTTCACCAACCATTGAATCCAAATGGCCGACATCATAACAATTCTATAATGACTATAATAGATAAACCAACAATAATATTGTTGGTTAATCTATTATATGAAAAGTTAGCGATTGCATGTGGCACTCACAAAATATATGCCATCGTGGAATCTCTCATGTAATGTTCGAAGGACCGAGTCTTCAGTTAGAGGTCCGTTGGTGTGAATGAGGTCGTGCACTTCCTTATGCGTTCGCGGAGGTGATGGCGGATCTCCGGCAACAGGAGCCAGTGGTTTGAGTGATGACGTTAATGGCTTTAATACGCATTGCCGGTACACTACAGAAAGTTTCAAGTTAAAAAGACCGCTTTAATATATATATGTATATATCTCGTTTCGTTTCATTTCCACCAAGAATTGCGCGTATTTGAGAATCCCTCGCATTTTTTCCCGTTGCTTATCTCCTTCGCATCTGTGTATTAAGTAGGTAAAAGTCACTCACCAATGTTCTCATAGGTACATGTTGCTGAAGGGGCTGCCGAGCCATGATTACCGATGTGATTGATTCTATGGTTGTTACTTTCGTTGTAAAGGTTCTTGTTGGTATGGAGTGGGTTATTGTTATTGCTGTTGAGCGGGAACGGCGGCGGTGGTGAATTGTCTTCGGGCAATGCCACCGACACTCTTTTCCGCAGGGTAACAAGTTCCGATGAGATCGATTTGAGTCGCTGCTGATAGTGCGCCGCCTCATTTTGTGAGGATGCATCTGTAATTAAAGAATAATAAATACTAGTTAATATAGAGAAGAAAAATGTTCTTTATTTCGACCGAGTGTCCTCATTAGGTTTTTCTTTAAGTTGCGGTGATGTATGGGTATAGTGGCACAAAAGCAGGAGCGATATGAAATAACCATCACTCGGCGATACCTTTACTAGGCCAGACTATGCTAATTTTAGCATCAACACTAAATACAGAGCAATCAGCACTATATCTCCTTATGACGCGCTGAGTCTCTCGAACAAGTAGCTTCTTTATGCGTTCATATGCTTTTGTCTAACAAAATCAAGCATACTATAATATGACAGATGAACAAAGTGTTTCAGATTCAGATATCGATTGGAATTAAACGTTAGCCTAAAACTGGGGTCCGCTTAGATGTAGATAGCCGTCAAGGCCAGCAATCTACCACTAACAACTTTACCCGGCCCAGATGTGGATTCTTAATCATACTGGCGTTATACTAACGCTCGTTCTTCGACGCACTCTTTAAATCTGAAGAAGTCTTATCTACAGATTTGCTTCGATGTCAAAACGCTTTATCGTTATGATGGCAAACGCTTTCTTTCGAATGCAGCATGTTTGAAGCCGAGTGGGAACCTTCAACGGTCATTTGTTTTTTTTGTGCGACTGTATGCATAATTATGGTACATCTTGTGTTATCACTACTAACACAAATAAATGTACGCCCATCGATCCTCGATGTCAGAGCAAGCGGTCAGCGTGGGTCGTTGCCGGCAAAACTGCCAACAAAGTAAAAATCATTGCTGGTTACGCACTGCTTTCTTCTGTACTAGAAATAATTATTAATGGCATCCTCGCACAGATCCGTTACGCGCATGAGCATGCGGCTATTGTAATATATAGTAGGTCTGCTTTGATCACTGTTATATTTAGCGAGAGTTGACAAACCCTGGCCGTCCAAACGGATAATAATCTCGATGTAATTGCTAGTGAGCAAACTTTATCAGACTCACTATCTTTACTATTATATTAGAAATAATATTGGATGGTGACTTTGTCTAGTTCATTGAAAGCTTTGAGCTTTCTTTGGCCAAAGTCGTATAATCCAGTAGTAATTACTGCAGTGTTTCTATACGTGATCAGTATGGAAATTATCGGTCTACGGTTCATTCCCAGAACTGCTCTACATCCAGAGCTACCTTGTTGGCCAAATAGACAACAAATTCTGGCCCAAAAGATGCTCCACAAGACGTCGCAACAGAACGACAAAGCGATTGCCATTTGTCAGCTCATCCTCTCGAAGCGAGCAAGTTATGTAGAGAGATCGCCGTTGCTACATAAACGAAAGAAAAATTTTTCTGATTCGTTGCGGCGTCGATGTACACACAACGGCAGAACCGAGAGAGAGAGAGAGAGAGAGAAGGGAGAGACAGAGAAGGAAAGTAAATTTCCAAAAAGTCTTCTTCATGACACGTCCAGCGTTTTGCTGCAGCTACCCGGAGCTATGCTCACCCTGTGTGCCGTCGTCTTAATGCGAACGTTCAATTTTACTACGAACCAATGGCGCAAATATCGTACATGTTGGCGGCAAATTATGAAATGTCCATGGAAAACAAAGAAGTGCGTGTAAAGTAGACGATTATAGCAACAACAGCAGTATGAGACCCGTATCGTAAATCACTAAAAACAACAGCTGGCGAAGATATTCTTTTCAAGGTATGTCTTGCCTATAGCGAAAGATAAACTTTCTATTAAATACGCTTTTTACAATTTTTATTCATAATGTTCTATATGTTCGTAATGTCTTTCGCTGGAACTAAGATAATACTGGAACAGGATGGAGACCCGCATCCGCTCTGACGGTTTTTACATGGAGACCAGAGCATCTTCTTTGTGAGAGGAATGTCACCACACAGACTAATCACCACACGACATCATCTACTCTCAGTCCATGCTCAGCCAGTTAGCCGAATTAAGTTATAGAAACAATCTACTTTGATGAATTGAGCTCCGACTACAGTTACGAGGAACTTATTTTACACAACTGCACTGACATTCGAAGCGGCATTTCCGTTGCCGGCAACAGAATCCTTTCTGGTTCAATACGTTTCGACTGAGCGTAGCCATCATCTAACAGCCATCATTGAAACAGACCACAACGTTAGGGGCCAAACTATACCGATGGTTCTGGTACCGATTTGTACCTTAGATGATTCACTAGTTTGTTCCCTGTTATCACTTCAGACGTAATATGGCGATAGGGCGAACAAATAGAGCGATGAAACATCACAGCTCGACAGAAGCCCAAGCAGAACCGGCAGCAGAAGTGGCCGTATTAGCAGCAGGCGTAATAATCGAAGAAACCATCGTACGTTTTGAACAGAAGTGCATGTATCCCAAATCGGGTTTTGCCGACCCTTTCTTCAACGGCTGCTATTGCTTCCGAAGCTGTAGCCACAACTTCTGCTTCTTCTGCTATGAAAAGAGGTAGCTGAAGACTGGGAAGCTACCACAGTTCTCGGAAGAAGAGTTGAGCGAATGGTTAACAACAGCTAAAGCCGTATGGTCGAACAGAATAATCCAACTCCAGTTGCTATAGGCCTTTCCCGAAGAAGGAGGATCTTTGCTTTGGACGACCCCAGTGGGTCCAAATAGGTAGCACGAAGAAGGCAGAGTAATATCGGGCGAGCCCGGTGCCGAAGAATATGAGCAGAAGACGCTGGCACAACAGAAAAGTACACATGTGTACGATCGGGGTTAGTTTTCAGGAGAGCCAAAAACGAGACTACACAGGGTTTTTCTACCAACGGATTCCGTTGGTCGTGAACTATAGTGCCGCGTTCGCTAGGCAATATTACAGCAGCATTGAGATTTGTCTTCTGTATATGTTATCAGCTTTCTGAGCTGCGGATTTTCATTGAAGTGATTCATTCTGTTGTTAAATTAAAGAACAACTATTAACAGTACAATGCTACGGATGGTTCTAGACTGACGGGCGAGAACACACGATTTAGCTATAACGGTGCATATTTAATCAAAACAAAATTACCACGCAGCACTGAACGAACGTTGAAAGCTACTGTTAACTCATCTCTAAAGCCTGCATCGATCAGCGAGAAAAGCAGAAATTATTGTGCCTGACATAATTTCACGCAGGACCGATATAATACAATAGATCAAAGAGTACCTGAACTAGTTAACGGACTCGACGTTTCGAGCGTTCGTTATAATGAGTGGTGCTAAATGAAAAATGCTGTTGAGGAAAGGTTACAATGTAACCTTTCGTATTACCTGCCAGCTATGCAAAAGAACGTGCCATATTAGTAAATAGAAGAATAACTATTGATATGTTAAAATAATAGACGAAGCAATAAAAGAGACGGAAACTCTATTTGACACGCGGCAGAGGAAATGGTTTTTCGAAAAAGATTAATCATAGACAACCCTCTAAACGCCTTTTAGAGTCAGTTTTTTTTGGATGAGGACCTCGATCGCAAAACGTGCAGTGGTAATGACTGGCAATCGATAGAGCTTATTATTTGGTTTAAAAATAGCTTTACTAAGCAACAGATAACGCTAATCTTGCTGATTAATATAACTAGACAGGCGCGTAACAAAAGCTTTATTCAGTTGTTTCCAATGTATCCCTGCTTCGTAAGGCAAAGAGCCTTATGTATTCGCGTTCATCAATAATCATCAGTGTTAGTGCATGAATCACACCCAAAAAACCCATAGATGCACATACTAATACTTGAAGCACGTTAATTTAATACGGGTCAATACGTACACTCCCTATAGAGTTTTCTTATCGTAGCAAAAGATGAACTGGACGCACTCGGGATAAGAGAATGCCTTCGCTGAGTTCCCGTATGGGGAGCACTCATCTGTAACAGTTCAAGGGAGCACATATCCGTGTATGGTTCGTGTGTGACAGTCAAAGCACATTGGTTTGGTGCCGACTCATAACATTCTCTATCCAGGTCACGACTAACGTGCAGTGCACGCGTCGTCGGTATACAAGTGACACAAAACACCGTCGATGACGATTGGTCGAGAGAGAAACCTCCTGGAGGAGCACTATACCTCCTGGCTGGCCAGGCTTCAAATGAACTGTTGCCGCTGGAGCTGGCCACATCAGCTTCCGCGCGCCATCGGCTCGCCTGCATATTGTTCGCCGGCCTTGGTTAGCCCTCGTAGGGCTCCGTTCGTGCGTTACGCGCTGCAGCGGCTAATACAGCCACTCTCGGCCCTGCCCAACTGTACGGTCCCCCTCTCCCTAAATCCTTCCAGTCTCTACACGCCACGACAAAGTCTTTTGTATGAGGGACTGTTCGTTTATTTCGATGCGTCGTCTTCCAAGGCCAAATACAACGGACCTCTAGAGCCAACAATTACGATCGAAGGATCTTTGTCCGATTTAGATCCAACTAGCCAGCCAGCCTGCGTTATCTCAGTAAAAAGAATGTTGAATGAACTGCCGGTTTAATGATGACAAAAACTTAGGCGAGACAAGCTGTTATAGAGGCCAATGCGAGGTGACTAGGATGACAGACGGTGTTCGCTTGAATAGATTGTCACTGTTTTGCACTGCAAACATACGTAGTCACCAAATGTTTGGAAGTTAATCACAACAATCACAGAACACTGATTTGTAGTGTAGTGGTAGCCAAAGACATGACTTCATTACGATACGTACGTTTTGTAGACGAGACAAGGAAACATTTACATGACGTTTATATAAAAAAAAAATGGCAAGCGATAGACGTGTTTTTTTGCCATTTCTAGTGCTTATGCTGCTTAAGAGCCGTAATTCTGCTTTTAACCAAGCAGAAGCTGCATGACGCTCTGTGGCTAAAGCCCAACTGGACTTAGAGTTCCTCGCTAAGACTAGCTAGCTAAGAAGCATCGAGCGCTCCGCCATCTACTTAGCTAGCTAAGGCTACGAACTGGATCTACCTCGACGCGTTTGCCGACGGAAGAAGCTAAAACAGACGGAGCCGGAGAAGTTAAAATCGCCGGAGTTGC